CCATCGTAGTAAGTTACTCAGCTGGGTTGATAATTTATAAGACATGAATGTAGATGGTTTTAGTCAGTATCACAGTTGGCACCCTTCGTGAAAGTTGCGTTGCAACGAGCAACCGATGGTCAAGGATAGATCCATTGAAGGTGAGAGCTTCTACAAATCGCAACCTTATATCCCTTTGGAATACCTGAGGCTTGGAGGATGGTGTAGGATGAAGTTACCCGTTCCATATCTCAAGGGGGCTGAAAAAGGGCGCAAGTAAAAGAAAGGGGGGAGGCATCACTCTTTTCATCACTTCTTTAGCCACAAACTCCAAAATACCCTCACCTTCAGTGAGTTGCTCAAGATTTCTATCAGTAACAAGGCTCCATAAATATGTGAGGGGTGGTAGTTGGTTAAATCTGCCGTTAATTTCGGCCAGAGAGTTTTGTAGCTTCCGCATGTCAGTAGTATGTCTATCAGTATTTTCGTGTGTATGAGATGAAATATTACACTCCTTGAATCTTGGAATTCTAAATTTAAGGCTTGGTAGAACATACTGCCTGGTAGACTGTGCTGACTTTTCAATGCACGTCAGTGTAGTGTCTTGTATGTCAACCAGTTTTACCGTTGGCGTGCTGCACGCAGAGATAGAAAATTTGTAACATGGAGAAACAGGTGATGATAGTGACATTTGTGTATAATGCGCATGTCTTTCAATAGTTAAAGGCTCGATATTGTCAGGTACTGAGTCGCCAGTAATAGGGGTTACAGACTTAGACCTTTTATCTGGCTTAGATGTTGGTGAAGTTTCTCTTTTACTGGAGTTATTTGAAACTAGGTGAGCACAGAGCTGGTTAAATTAAATATAATATCTGAGTATTAGACTTTATTAGGTATTAATTTGGCTAATACTAGGATCAGAAACTATGAGTATATAATAAATTTCAGATATATTTAAGACTTAAGTCCCTGATAGGAATAATATTAACTGGAAAGTGTCCATTGAAAACGTTTTTTCAGGGGTAGAATGTACCCGATATTCACGATAGGACGTCAGTCTTCGTATAGTACACCCTACAAATGAACTAGTCCATCACGTCCTAAACCACGTGAAAAACAGTTACCACTTTCAAATTTCGCGCATCTTAGTATTCATGCAGTTCTTTTTACTTCCTGGGCAACAGCTAGAACCTCTTTATGGGTCTGAGAATATCCTTGTTTATTCGTGCCCAAATGTCTAGAAATAAAAGTAACAAAATTTCCATCTTGCTCAAAAACCTCATTTAACTACAGTAAAGATGCATCTGTAGTGATAGTAGATTTCTCAGTTGGTAGAAACGGTCTGAAAAGAGCCTAACTACTAAGGGACTGTAAAATTTGTGTAAATTTGCGAACGAAACTGTAAAAAGATTGAAGAACATCAAAGCCTGATCTGAGTGCTTAGATATTTGTATGTGACGGCGTTTTAATCTGTGGGGCTAGACGACTTATATCAGTTTGAAAACTCTTAGCATTTGCAGCATGTCAGTATAGGGTTGTGGAAATGGTTGAGTTTTTGATTGAGATCATAAATCGATCAATGTTAGACCACCATCGGAAACCTAGAACTAATGGACGTCTGTTTCGTCCCAGTACTGGGTACGCAGCAGTGTGGATTCACGATAGAACAGACAGTTGATAGAATTAGTTTGAAACTGACACTTGGTTGGAATTGCGGTCGCACATCACAAAAGCGTCCGGATTTGGATTTGCGTCTGGATAAACCAAATATTTTTTTAGCAGTGGTTACTTGTAATTTGTAAGTGCACAACTTTTACGTCTATTGCCAAGAAATATTTTGACCGTCGTAATCTATACAATATATCTTCGGTCTCTTCAGTGGTACAACCCAGTTGTCATAACCGAGCATTTCCCATCAGGTAGTAGTCGCCACAAAGATTAAGTGATTTTCCACCCTAAAATTTGAAAAACCACCAGGTTGTAACTTGGAACAACATATATAGGCGAACAGTATTGTTTTCGATTAGATCCTCCTGAGGCTATGCTCTAATATACAGCAATAGTTATATGCATATTAAGCCAATCAAAGCAGTTTATGAGTCAATAATCACAGCGGAATAGACTACGTAAATAAACATAAGCGAATAGTACAATTTGATAAAGTGGTGACGGTGAACAAGTTGTGATAACAATAATAAAAGGTCGAATCAACGTTTCCTATCGCGAAGTAAGTCAGTGATTAGAAAAATAAAGACGCTGAAACAGCATTCATAAAAAATTATAAGATTACGTAATATAAAGTGTTCAGAAAACTGGGCAGTGAAGCGCATATAAAAATAGGTGAGAGGGTGTGAAGAAAAATAGACGAACGGAGTATAAAATGTAATAATAAATAAAATTATTTACTGAGGCTAAGGTAGAGACAAAGGTGTCACGAATTTCTTATGAACACAAAGATTTTGAGTGGACCCGAATTACTATAGCTTCTGCTATGTGTAAGGTACGAGATCGAAACCCACAAGAAATACCAGTAGGGATATGATAAATCGCCTTAAACGATCTATTCTGTTTGCTCCATGTCTGGTATCGATCAAGTGTGATAGATCAGAGATGCGTATTGTCATGACTGTACACTCCCACAACCACGAAGGGAGGTGCTCACTAGCTCGTTGGCTCAGTTACCTGGTAGTGTGCTCAGTGTAGCTTTCTCAGAGTTGGTGTTCACTCTGGGACTCGAACTCATTACCGTTCACTTCAAACGCCATCGCGTTACTCACTAAGCTACTGAGTCCTGATAGCCACTTGGTTGTGCAGTGGGGTGAAGTTTAATTCACTTGGTATTGTTTTACTTGAATCTTCCCATTGGTGTTTTAGGACTGAAACTGGTAAGTCTCTCTCAGATGCAGGTACATCCAGCCGACGAGTCCCAAACAGGACGAAACGCACGTCCTGGATTCCAATGATAGCCACTATCCATCTTTGCTTAGAGATAGGTCAGCTGCGTCAAAAGTTCTTTTAACTGCTCTAGTCAGTCTATCCTGTAGCCCATGGCGATGCAGCTGGCAATGAGCTAGGATAGCCCTTTTCAAGGTATCGCAAGGTTCAGAAACATACTAAGTGAAACGTACCTTTTCAACTCGCGCAGTAGTGCTTTACAGCCGTGAGAAAATTCTCATATGGATCTGTCACTCCGTGTTCATGGAAGTTACTTTCTACGTAGCGGAACCAGGCTCTGATGTTATTAGGCTAGAACGGCATGATTTGAAAAAGAAATGTCGTTAGAGTTTAAATATTCAACTGTTTTGGTTTCTGCTCCGTCATAATGAGGATGAAATACAAAAACGAGGAAAAAATTCAAGGATACTAAAATAATATCACTACATGTAAAACTAGAAAAAATAAAAAGTATAAAGTTAGAACACAGAACAGACAAAGTTTACGATTCGAATATCAGATCACACCAAGCTCATGAAACGGATATCCATCTTTTGACGTTTTCTTCCGTGATGCCTTTATAATCAGAGGATACCAAACCAGTCAAATTTGACGTCAGAAGTGAAAGGTTTAGAACGTATGTTTGGAAGGTTGTCGATATACTAAGAAGCATATAACTCAATTTGGCTTGTGGAGAGATTGTAGTTTTGCTTTTTGATGTCTGTTCTAGTGATTGTTTAGTTACACTGAGGGTCAACATTTTAAATTTCACATTTGTTATCACTTGGAGTCAGTTGACATTATTTGCGTTCATAGTTTACACACTTCACACTGTGTTTACAGAAAAGAAAATAAACGTTTAAGGATCTCAGCCCTAAAGTAAGTGAAACAACTTCATTTTTTCAAATTTATCGACTAATAACCAAGGAAATTAACATTTTAAGTTATTTTACTTGCTTTACAGTACATTTAAAGATGATAATACCACACATTGAAGCAAAACGTTGTATTTTTAATTCAAAGATTTGATTGCACGGTCGACGATTTATTTTTATTTGGATAAATGTTATCTCTGTTCTATGGATGTCACTGAAAATTTAGTGAACTGAGAATATGTTGTTGTTAATCTGTAATTCCTCTGATCAAGTGTTCATTTTTTACGGTAAACTCAGTTATTTTTTGCAAACTACGCTTAGAACGTGGAAAATGATGTTAATTATACTGAGGAAAGCCAAGTTCCAGATTTATGATTGAATGTGGTTTTAAGCGCAGAGCTAGTTCGTAGGTTTTCCCTATGCTTGAAAATTTTTCATGAGTCTAATATAAGCCAATCAAGTGCTTGAAATACGAAGGGTTTTTACTGTCCGTGTGCATAGACTTCAGATACATCAAAGCATTTTAAGGATGAAATACGACATTAAGCAAGCGCTTATGTCTTATTCGCTTAGTTTATTACTTCATATCAAGACGGTAAACTAGCTGTACTGCATGGTTGTCGGTATATTCATAAAAGGACTTTGACTAGCAATGAAAATCATGAAATATTAGCACCCACACATAAATAACACATTGGTGAAAACCGCCTTGCGGAGAGCGGGATCGTGGATGCGCACTGCTGAGGAGTCCCACTATAGAACGAAAAAGCCGTCCAGTGCTTCCAGATTTTCCATGATGGTCTAGCTTCAATTGACTGATGGTTTCAATCATTGAAATTTCCAAAAAAATCTCCACAAAACCCCTTCTAATATCTAAGAATAATTGATGCGCATCCGGCATTTGTCACCTTTGATGTAGCATTGTAAGTACTAATATATTTACATATATGCTTAGCCAACCATCAAAACGTGATAAGTTACACATACTGGCCGTAAAGCTGAGCCATAAGATAGCGGTTGGAAATAACTACTAGAATTTCACTTTAAATTATTTGCCGAACTCCGTTAAAGTAGTGTAACAATAAAATAAAAGAAATGTAGTGTTATTGCTATCTTTGTTACATATGAGCAGGATGTTAAAATCAGCAAACTAACGAAAGTTATTGTGGAAACACATGTACTTTTTTAGCATACAAACAAAGCTATAATAAAATGGATTGGATGGATACCTTTTCGTTACCAATGTCTCCCTTACTCCTCTCAATAGTGCTGATAATCGTAATGTACATTATTAATACTCAGTATTGTGGACAAATAAAAGTGAAACAAGTTCAATTCACCGATAATCAGTCTGTGATAATTGACGAAAAGGTAACCATTGATTTTTTCATACTAAAAAGCAAGTAAATCATGCGATTTCTATTCAATTAAACGAACCTTATTCCTTGTTGAAACATCACTTAAAAATGATGCGAATCTGAGAATATTAAAACGCTTCCACTTTATTGATCTAGCTAAACTCCGGTATTACGCTACTGTTGTTTTGTTGATATTTTCAAATTTATCTCGTGTTTGGGAGGAAACCAGTGGAAATTTAGTAATTGCAAGACAAGTACGTTTACAAAGACCAAACGAATATAAAAAAATAATAAAAGAACAAACGCATTCCCGCCTTCCGAATGAGTTGGTACTTATTGAATGTTACTACATTTCTACGATTTAGATAAGATGTGTCGTAATTTTCAGGTTGTAATGTGTTTATCAAATAAAATGTCTACGATATAATTTAAACTACTCATTATAGTTTGCATGGAATTTTATTTTATAGGGGTTCAATCTGTAACATCTAGATTTTAAATTTTTTCATCAACAAGACATGGCATGGTTTCGTATATATGTACGGATACATGTACAAAAATGTCCATTTCTTTGTCACTTCAAAATATTTTTAGTTTTTTTCATATAATCGGTCTCAATATTCAGTCATTTATGAAGCAAAGTGGTTTACATATTTTCATCATGTCAAATCTTAGTATAAAAAGATATTCTTTACTTTGTTATGACTGAAAACATTACACTATTTCAAAAAACTAGCGTCAACACCTACTTTAAACAAAAGCTGTAGATACTTTAGTAGTTTTTGCTGTGACTACACGTCGTTATTTTCAAAAGAAATAGAAGTTGATGGATGTTTTATCAGATAGACTAATAACATCATTTCTAGTTACATGGAGATATTTAAAAAAAGGTATAGCAAAAAATATTGTATAGTTATGTACTCGAAAAAATTTTCAACGTTTTTAAAGCCTAATTTGCCCCGCTAAATTATTCCAAATATACTGACATCACGACCTCAGCATGAATTTTGAGTTCGGTACTTTGTACTTGCTTACAACTTAGACTGTTGTACAAATAAAACATTTGTGCGATTTCTAGAACGGTCTTGTAACTGAGAGATGGGAAGTTAATTCGAAATATGCCGAAAAAACTGAATAGCTCAAGTTATTAGGATTTTGTCAAACTACTTGGTATAATAACTTTTACACAAAGTCAATAAAGAAGCTAAGAATTACATGCAAAATAAGCTTGTAATAGCTAAATATACTATAACTGTGTTGTACATAAACCACGCCACAAAAATGTAGAATTGTTTTCATTCAAAGGTTTAATAACAAGTCATGATTTGTATTTCATCCTAGAGATGTCGAAATTTTGATTAATTATGAAAACTAGTGGTATAGTGCCTTATTTACTGTTTTATTCCAAATGACATTAAGCTACTGAAGACAGGCCTATGAAGCAAGCTAAGTTTATCAGATCTTTGCTAGTAACAAAAAAAATTGAAGCTACTTTGGGAACGGTGCTTAAATTGAAACCAATTGATTGAAAACGTGAAGCTGTTATGATGATCTAAAACTACGATGTTACCATGTTGTTCTTTAAAGGATGGATTTGTCGATTTGTGTTAGAATATTTTTCTTGGTTCGTTTTCCTTAGAATGAAGATTCTGCACAAGATTCATTTCCTATTTATACCAAACTTTGATTTTTCATGCAGGTTTTGATGTAAATATCAACAAAATCATCGTGATAAAAATAAGGCTTTTCGTCGCAATAGTGTGGTAGTATTTTTATATTTTTTTGATTAAGATCATGAACTGATTGGTGTTAGACCACCGTTGGAAACCTGGAAGCATAGTAAATTGAGTGTGTGAGTGAGAAATTGATCAATATTAAAATTCCAAAAAGTAGTATACCATTAAATTTGTCAATGTTTTTCTTTGCTGCGTTTTAGACAGGATTAAGAGCATCTGTTAGAAAACTCTCTATTATCGATGATGTGCAACTGAATTCCCCATTTGATATCTTTAAAACAGGATTAAGAAAGTCAAGTGAGTAAACAGTTTATTTACGCAACCACCTTGATTTGTTAATGGTTGAGTGGGTAACCATTAGAAATTCTCCACAATTTACCAAGTAATTTCTGAAGTCAATTAAGAAAGTAACTTGAACACATAAGATTTCTGACCAATATTGAAGGCTGAACTTTTTTTATCCTAAAAAACCCTTGGCATTAAAAACATTTTAGTGCAAACTGTACGGTTTAATGAGTTTGTATGTATCATTACCAAGGTTTGATTTGATAATTCCGAATAAATTGAGCATTCGATAGATTGTTATAAATAAATAATATGTTTGTAATATCCCAATGAGTAGAAAAATTCGATTTTCTGACGTTTCGTGACTTAGTGTAAGCCACTCCTTCGGAGAATAAATAACCAAATTAAAATCAATCCAAGTTTAATTCGGTTATTTATTCTCCGAAGGAGTGGCTTACACTAAGTCACGAAACGTTAGAAAATCGAATTTTCTACTCATTGGGATATTACAAATATATTATTTATTTATGTATGGTTTAATAACTTACTCTCACCGTTTCGCTGAGTCAAACTCAAAATGTTAATCGGTCTAGAAACATAAGATCATATATCTTACTTAACACAGCCGCAAGTAATCAAAGGATCATTGGTCGCTCTAAAGCCCTACATAAACAATTGTAACTCAAATCAATTATAAAAAAATGTAAGGATAAAGCGGTAAGAAAAAGTGGTCGGGCATCAACGACAATGAGTGTGCATACATATTTCATTATCTTCTATCTTGTATCCGAAAATTTTACAGCATTTATTATGTACTCAAGCAGTCGAATATGGCTATTAGTTGTCATCTTTAAAACTTGAAATATTCTTTGATATAATTCACTTATGAATCGGATAAAATGCTTTATTTGTATCAGATTGATACGCAAACATCTGATAAAATTCTGTAGTACAAAAGGTACTTAAAATTCTTCAAAGTTGATTGTTCATGGATTATTTATTAAATCTGAAAACTGTGATATTAAATATGGGTGTAGAGCACGTAGTTCATATCTTTTTTAAAACCTGACTAACATTATCTTAATAAGTGTATTCGTTGAGCTTAATAAATAATTTGGTCATCAATTGATTAACCCATAATTAAGTACCAAGTGGCCTCCAAATAAATATGGTAAATTACTTAAAGCTGATTACGGATGAAAATTACTCTTCACATGGTTTTTGTAACAAAAATACAAAGTACAGCAGTATACTGAGAGGTATGCCACACAGTAAATACACATTAAATAAACGGATCTAAACATTATCTGAGGATAGGGTCTAAATAAAAAACGGTGAAGATAAACTTCGTCAGGTTGAAAGATGCGTCTTACTATTTGAGTGGAGCACAAAATATCACATCATAGTTGCTACTACCTTCTATTGCGAGGCATGCCTAATGACTCTTAGAGCCACTGACTTACACCATGTTTAGGAACTAGTCAGCAAAAGCGTGCACTACCAAGAAATCTTAGTCATACATAACCCTTCATTGTTATATAGCAACGCATCATAAAATGAATCTAGATACACTTTTTAGTATCAGAAAATAATACTAGGAAATGGGACCCTCTTAGATGTAATTCGTATAACATATACAGGTCACCAAAACTGGTGTTCCAAAATAGAATCCTTCGCTGATTGATAATTGACACTAGCTCAGTATGATGAACGGTAACATTATTCATACAGTGTTTTCAGGCACTCAAATAGCCCTTCGGAAAAATCCAAGAATCGTAGACGGAGTTTCAACACATCATCAGCTCGGAAGGTCACACTTCACAGACTGCTTGAACTACACCATTATAATTCTGTACTTCTGACGGTTGTCAAGTAGAGTTACTTTTCTTGTTGTCATAAAACCTTCTGACTATCAAGTTTTGTAGTCAGTACATACGTTTTTTTTTGAAATTTTCCAGATGACCGACATGAAATCGTTCAGGAAAGATTGATAAGGTTCCAAATTTTGTTAGTAGCTAGTGAAAATCCAGTACGTTTCAGTAAGACCTAGTGATTAGCCATAAGTGATTTTAGTTGGAAGTTTTACTGCGCCTCACTCACAAGACCAATCTATATGTATTATTTTAAGTGCATCGATAGCCAATATTCAATTTACTTCGAATTGATTTCTGGGGGGGATGGAAGTTATGGATAATTTAATAACAAGCTTGTTGGCTGATGAAACTCAATATTATTTCCACAAAGCCTATCTGGATGTCCTAAAATGTATGCCAGCTTTGAACAAATCTGTATCACTAATAACGGACTGCAGTATAACCTACCCGAATATGATTTCAAATTTCATATGGAAGATGGAAACAACATACGGATAATAACTGTGCTGGAGGCTGATACTGAGTACAAATTGTTTGTGATTTGAGTGAATCTAACCGACTCTTATTCGTTCCTTTAATATGAAGTAAATCACTACCTGGACGGTAGAACGGCCGCGCCACATCGATAATCAGAATATTAAATAAAACGTATGCTAGGTGATTCCAGGGAAATAAGGATTTATTTATTTATTTGAACACACAAATATTGGTACAAGAGGGCACCAAATATATATGCGCCACGCAAAACAATGAGAATTCGAAGAGAAAAAAAGAAGGTAAGGAGCGTAAAAGAAAAAAGAATAACAATAACGGCCACAGATTAGTGTAAGGTAGTGTAATAATAATAATAATAATGGAGGACACGGAACAGTACAACCAAAAGAATTGTTTCAGCTAAGGAAGATACAACCGCTTTTTATGAAGAAAGTAAAAGAAGGTTACAGCAGGATCGCCACTGGCTTCTATTCTGAGCCATATCTGATAACGTCTCTAGCCACTGTGTAGCACCATCTCTCGGACCCCAACCAGGGAGTCGTGAAGGACCAACACAAGCCAGTCCTTTGCAGCTTTCTTTCATGCCACGACACCATGTCATGCACTGACCACCTCTCCGCTTCTTCCAACCAGTCCCAGAGTCGGCAAATAATGCACGACGTGGAATTCTCTGGGACGACATTCGGAGAACATGTCCAAGCCACCGAAGTCGGTGTTTCAAGATGGTGACACCAATTGATTATCATCTCTGTGCCCGAACACACGATGCCGAACCTCTGCATTACTGACATGGTGTTGCCACTGAATGTCAGCAATCCTTCGGAGACAGCGATGATCGAACACAGAGAGTCGTCTAACGTCCTCAACTCGGAGAGGCCAGGTTTCACAAGCATAGAGCAAAACTGCTCTCACCGACGCGTTGTAGATCCGACCTTTTACAGCCAGACTAACATCACGAAGGCGCCAAAGGTGGCCCAGATTGGCATAAGCCGCTCTGGCTTTCACTATACGTGCATTGATCTCATCACTCACACCCCCACCAGCACTTATGCAGCTACCCAGATACACGAACTTCTCGACTACGTCTATCTGCTCACCATCCAGGGTGAGTACAGGATTAGAATCCTGCCAGTCTTGTAGAAGTACTTTGCACTTCGAAGGTGCAAAGCACATACCATACCTACGGACACTGATTGCCAACTGATTAAGTGCGGATTGCATGCCTTGGGCATTATCGCACAGTAAGACAATATCGTCCGCATACTCAAGGTCGAGAAGTCTTTCTCCAGGCAACAGATCCACACCACCATTACTTACATTCATCAGAGCTGTTTCCAGAATGTCATCGATGGCAAAGTTGAAGAGGAATGGTGAGATTGGGCAACCCTGCCTAACCCCACTGCTCGAATGGAACAATGGAGAGAGGTGGTTGTATGCCCTCACTCTGCCTGAGGTGTTTTTATATAGGGCTTTTAGGATGTTAATAAACTTCTCAGGCACACCCTTCTTCAATAGACAATCCCAGAGAACAGTCCTGTCCAACGAATCGAAGGCAGCCCTGATGTCAAGAAACACTACGATTGTTGGCCTTTGATAAGTATGGCGGTGTTCTAACATTTGGCGGAGGGTGAAGATATGATCAATACATCCTCGACCAGAACGAAACCCAGCCTGCTCCTCGCGAGTCAATCTTTCTCGGGTTTTGAACAACCTACGAAGTATGACGGAAGCCAATAGCTTGGACGCAATCGGAAGTAGACTTATCCCCCGATAGTTGTTACAGGAACGACGTGAACCCTTTTTAAAGATAGGGACAACTATCGACTCATTCCATGACGTTGGTACACTCTCTAGTTCCCAAACCTTTGTAAACAACGTCGTCAATTCCTTAGTCAAAAAGTCACCACCATCTTTAAAAAGAGCCGGAGGTAAGTCATCTGGGCCAGGTGATTTGTAACGCTTCAAGAGTTGGAGTTCCTTGCGGACTTCCTCCTCGTTTGGTGGATCAGTCGTCACCGGCCATGGAGGGCAGGACAGTCTGACCGATGTTGCCGGAGCAGCAGGCCAGTTGAACTGCCCTTCGAAAAATTCTGCCCATCGTCCAAGACGTCGATGGATGTTAGTGATTGGCATCCCATCATCCTCGCAGATTGTTTCACTCACACCAGACTTCTTGCTGCCAGTGGCTCGGATGAGTTGGAAGAGCTTCCGGTAGTTACCAGATGCAGCTGCTGCTTCCAGCTCATTAGCACGCTCGACCACCAGGCTTCTCGGTCCTTACGCAAGCTTTGCCCAATTTCCTTACGTAACATCCTTCGTTTATGGTCAAACTCACGGTCACCCGGAGTAGACCGACGGGCTTCAATGAGTTGTAAGGAACCAGAAGAAACCCAGTGCTTATAAGCGGGACGTTTCGCAAACCCACAACTGACTGTTCCCGCCATTTTCATGGCGTCATGCAATTGCAACCAATGCTCATCTATACTTTTCGGTGGAGTGGTAGCTAGCCTAGAAGCTAGCTTGGTTCGATACTTACTTGCAACAGAAGTTGCAACCAACTTGCTGACATCAATCCGTTCACTTCGTTGTCCACTGAAAAGTAAGGTAAGATTGGCGCAGACCAGGGCATGATCAGAGTCCAGATAGGTACTCCAAAAGGAGCGGCAGTCTTGTACACAACCACGCCAGCGGTAGCTGATCGCGATGTGATCAATCTGAGTCCAGGCTTGAGATGCAGAGGGAGGACGCCAGGTGGCACATCGGCGATGACTGTGCCGAAAGTTAGTGCTAGCCAGAAACAGGTTGTGGTCTGTGCACAGTTGCAGTAGACGGTCCCCGTTATCTGACCTGCAACCAACAAGTCCCCATCGGCCACCTAAACGACTCTCTTCTGTGCCTAGACGCCCGACCTGAGCATTCAAGTCTCCGGCTAGTACTACAATATCTGTCGAACGCACTTTCTGGAGAAGAACAGATAACTGGTGGTAAAACTCATCCTTGATTGCATCCGGGCTGCAATCTGTCGGGGCATAGGCGGAGATGACGAAAAGACATCGTTTCTCACGCCGATTTCTTCTCACTTTGATGGAACTTTCTAATCTAACAGCACATAACCGACTGTTAATGGGGATCCAATCGATTAGTGCTGCCTCAGCTCTAGCGCTTAGTGCGACACCAACGCCAGCGAGACCAGACGAAGATGCCACAGGGTCCCCGGATAAACGCACGTAGAACAAGTTTTTTGAAGCAACAGATGGAAAGTGAATTTGTAGTACTTCACCAAAGTCTTGAATACGGGTCTCGTAAGACAACAGACGTCGATACTAAGGCTTATTAAAGATATGGCCAACCCTATCTGTTGTCCGACCTGCATTAGTATGTGAACGTTGAAGGCAGCCAGTTTGAATGGTGCACGTGGTTTCAGAACAACTGCTTCCGTATTCGTATTTGGTGGTAGAATTCAATTTTCAACCAGTCAGTGACTCGAGAACGTTTAGATAGAACCGAGTTTCGACCATAGGCGAGCTGCTGTATAAGTCGAAAAATAAGGATACATAAAGTGGGAATAAAAGAGAGTGAATAAATGACGTAGTAAATAATGTTAATAATAATAATGTGAGTCGTTTGACTGTTAATCGAAGCAAGTATGGTATTTTCCGTAAGTATCGTCATTTCATTCTGTTTGTGTGGCTTGGATTAATTCTTAACCAAATATCAAACGGTTTTACGAATTTTCAAGATGTTAACTCACTGTAACCTTGGATCGTTTGGTTAATGAATACCAAAAGGCACCTGAGAATTATTTGTTTGATGTTGGTTATCCCTCTTTTTTTAGTGAAACGAATATTTGAAGTATTCAAGATATTATTCAATATACTTTAATGTTTGGAGTTTCCTGCTTTATGTTTTTCTTTGTTTATTGATTAGGTTAATCTTTACTGGTTAGTAATTAATATTAAAGCTATGGTTAGTGTCTAACAAATAATACTTATGATGTAGACAATCGTTATTCTTATATCTTAAAGTTCAGAAAGAATAATTAAGCAGACCATATTACAAAAGTTTTTAAATTTAATATCCCCGAACTCTTGACCATTTAATCTGCTTACAGCTAAGACGAGGAGATTTAAATCTTCGTTTTATCACATAAAAAACAATGTCAGGTTACATGCAGTCTGACATCACAAGGGGTCATCTTTTGCATAATACTAACGTATGTTTCAATCAATTTCAGTGCTACTTTCAGAATGTCGTGTGGTCGATTTTATGGCGTCCTCATAACAAGTTGATAACTTGGCTTTGACGTTTGTACGTACCATTGCAGAAATATTAGATATTTGCTCTGTCTAGTTCTCATAACTCCTGTAATAGAATGTGTTGTTATTTTAAATCCTATAATCCCACAATGACCGTGTGAAAATTTGGGTGAATAAACTACATTCTATGCATGACATATCAACTCCATCACTTGCATCAATTTTCGGGTTATAAACACTATATTACTTTATCTGGAAACAAGTTTCTAAGATTAGATGTTTTAAGATATAAACTTTACTCAAGACATCACCTTGACTTTTTTTGTCACAAGTTTGCAGATAATCATAAATCAAGATAAACAAAAGGTTAATTTGTAGATAGATGTAATATATACATATAATAGAAAGTCATTTGTTTGTTATTGTTACTAGTATAGTAAAATAACACTACAAAAACTTCAAAGCTAGGATATTCAAGAAGCGTTTGACAAAAAAGTAAATATAATAGCAAATACATAAAAGGGAATTTTTATTTTGTGTTAAGTAAAAAAATATTTTAAACTGGCTCTTCATTCGTACCGTACTATGTAATCTTCTTTTAGGTTTTTATTTCTAAGTGTGTATTATTTGTCATAAAGATAAGAATAATTTCCATCTTCGTTAAAAATAAACTTCTGTCTTATTCCAAAGTGAATAAATGAATATGATTCTAGGGTAATGGTATTTTCCGAAATCACTTATTACTAACTGTGAATTTTATTTATAATATTCAGAAGATAAATATTGTTTTGGAATGCGTCAGTCATTCAGTTCTCCAATTAAATGGATTACTTATGAAGAGGTAAGTATAATAACGAAGAGGAATACTATGAGTTCCTTAACTTAATATTCAGGTTTATGAGAAAATTCAACAGTTTGGATCAGCGTTAACGACACTGATGGAAGAAATCTCCATGAATAATTTTGTTGGAATTTATGGAAAAAATTCTCCAAAGGCAAGTTTTCAATGTGATTACGGGACAGCTAATTAAGCAATCTACATTTGATAAAATATTTGTCTATCCAGTAAGAGGAAATGAGATGTAACCAAAATGAGATTCGGAGTTAATATATTTGAAAGTGTTTCTAATCTACAGCCGGATTAGAAAGCATAGATGTTTCCAGGAAATAAGATGCTATTAAAAGCCTAATATTTTAGGGAAATATCTAGAAACTAACTTAATTTTATCACTGTTTTACGATAATTCAGGATGCCAATTTATTTCCGTAAAACATAGGGAATCGGTGAAAAACTATAATGTTAAATTTAAAACTTATTAGGTAGAAAGTGATGTGTTTCATTTCCTTCTATTTTAAGCGTCTAGGAATCCGGATTTTGCCGAGAAACAACTACTGAACGAAAATCAGATGCTCAGCTTTGTTATAGCTAATGTAGAATAGTACAAAATATGTCCCCTCAGCAAACTAAATGCAATAGTAAACAATATCACATACTATAAAGACCATCTTTTGTGTAGAAATTTAAAGTTAATCATATTACCATACCATATTTTGGCTAGTTTAAAGTAAACCGATATTTAAAAGGAGTATGAATGACATTTACAAACTGAACCGTATCAGTTACCAATTTTATTACATTAAACCGTTGAGTTTTAGGGGCAGTAAAATAAGTTAACGAAAAATATTTACTAGAGTTATACAATAACAAATGTGACCGTAAATCCTACTGTAAGGATTAGGGGATTGTGAACCATGGGGGTTAGGAACAGCAAATTATAATTCTTCGAATTATTAACATCAATAAACATGGAAATTAGTTAGTACAGATATAAAAGCTATCCGTCGATTAATGGAGAATACTTTTGTTGTGTTGATATGAGATGTGGTAACATCGTTTATTATTTATTCGTGCACAGTTTTACGTTGATGATGACTGACAAACTGTAGGCAATTTTATCAGTATTGGAAACGATTTGGATTATGAGATAAATAACACATTCAAAAGCTGACAATTTCTTTAGTGCATTTTTTAGCCTTAATACTTTGAAAGGAACAAAAGTGATTTCCTGAGTTCTGGCATTTCCAAGTCCTGAATAGAAAAACAGTCGTGTATATAAGATAAAGTGATTTACCGCGCAAAACCAAATTTGTTACGCTCCTTTTTGTATGCTTTCCTACCCTGAGGGATGTGTTGGAAACGTCATTTGCTTACATAGTTCAACATTGTGAAAGATATTTATTACATTAGAACTATGTGGTGGTACATAATTTCATTTTTGTTTGTAAAGATGCTAATCTGAATCTCAGTATAAACTATAACATTCTTACACTTTGAATGCTGCTTTTGTATGAAGTCAACTCAACAAACCTAGTTAGTTGTAAGATATTTTCTAAACATTATTTCATCGTCAAATTAAAATACACAGACCAAAGTATTTCCAATTTTCTGTTATTCGAATGATCTTTAAAATGATTTACGTAGATAATACATTTCTATTGGAATATTTGTCACTGAAGGTTTTAGTCATATGTTCCGAAAAAGTTTTTAGATTTTCATATAGTATTATTCTGAAAGTTTTATATGGTCATAGTTCATTTAATATAGATATAAAATGAGTTATAATTTACAAATGTTGTTCAATGGTCATTTATTTTATTTTTCTTTCTAAAATAATTTTACTTCATATATATACACATATCTAAATACTTATTTAGAAGTTTGTTAAGTCATTTGAAACCTAGGTGCTAAAAACTAGATACTTAGTTTCTTTAAAATCTAAAAATCTGTGCATTCCATTAACTTAATACATATACCGTGAATATAAAGTAACACTTTAGATTAAGTCACTTTCGTCAGAAAATATCGTTCCGTGAAATTAAATATTTTCACTTTGATACCATGAAAATTTCTGTCAAGAAGTTTGTATGTAAAGAGAAATTTTATCCATTTATTTTTAAGAAGTGTACAACTTATGAGGACAGCTGTTTTTCAAACTGCGTTTACTGACCGCTTGATGCAATCACAAACAAAAGTTTTTATAACTTTGTGAGGTATGAACTTGACAGAAATAATCATCTGTTTACCTTCATATTTAGCTATTTATTGTTGTAAATAGTAACGCGTCATATGCAGTTTCCTTATTTCCTGTTTTTTTAGTGGGTGATAGCACAGTTAGCTGGTGCTGCATACTCGTTTGTTACTGTACCGTTATACAGTACTTTTGGTGATGAAGCTATAGTTCATGTCATTAATGAAAGTAAGTAATTTGAAGAATTAGCCTTGCAAATACGTGTATCCTATGGAGTCAAAGCAAATTTTCGAAACAGGAAGTCTTAGGAAGAAATTAATAATACATCTAAAGCTAGAAATCAGTAAATTATAATTTCGCGTGATTGTCTTTTTTAATGAAAGTTTTTATTGTTAGGTAGCTGTAAATAAATATGCAAAGTCTGTCCAACAAATGCTGTAACTAAGATCATGGGAAAGTTATTTTGTAAAATCTATAGAACTTTGGACCTAAGATCCTCAAACTACATCCTCCCTACATTTTTAAACACACACATGTCCTAATACTCATTTTTACTTTACTGAACATACCTGGAAGTCGTTAGACGTCAGGTTCATTGTTTTGCTTTTCATAGTCTCACACATCCTCCTAGTGCTGGAATCCTGTTCCCAAACCATTCACTAAAGATTAAATAACTAGTAATGATTCTAAAATGTAATTATGAATAGGAAAGCACAAGGAAAATCACACGTTTAATGTTTTCATCAACAGAGGTTACCATTAGATTATCTTGATCATGATTATCACCTGCAAAAACGCATTTTTATTAACGTTTCATATCCATAAACATCCACTAACATTGGTTGAGTTTCGTAAACACTTTTTCAAAATTTTATGTAAGGTCTAATGTCGTGTAGCATGTATACTGGACAGATTAAGTTGTTTTTAATCGAATACAACAATTTGCTTAAAAAATGAGACAACGATATTGACTTTAAAATGAAACATAAACAATTGTAGGCAGATAATAATATCAATTATATAATATCAGATTTTATCATTATTTATTCTTCTTATATTATGAAATCTGCTTGATTAAGTGTGAAAACATGTAGTTACATGTAAAACACTCAGTGAGCAGTAGTTTAGTCATCACTCAACCAGGGTGTTTTTATCAATTCAAAATATCCATATATTGAATTTTTAGGTCACCAAACAAATACTCAGCTATTTTAGTTACTATTGGCCGTGATATTTATAAAATGAGGCTTGTCAGTTTAATCGTTTTTGAAAGTAAATGAGTAACTTATTATCTATGTCATTATCCGAGATATTGAACTCTAGAGAGAACTGTAAGATTTTGAACCTCGTATGGACCAATGACTTCAATTAGAACTTCTATATATTTGAGTAATAAAAATACATATAAAGGCTGAATTATTTTAACCACGGTCTTTGAACTGAACAAATGTTTAAACCAGTAACTAACTTGGTAACGAACTTTATTATTACTTAATTAGAAATCCTTTTGAATCCTCTTGAGATACATAATTCACTGACATATCTATTGACTCTTCCGTAGATAATTTTTATGTGATATCCAGGTATTGATTCTAAAATGCCCCAAGGATGTCATTAGAAAACTTTCTCACCTGAGTGGCCTCTAATTTCCATGAATTCATAAACAACTGTTATGTAAATAAGTTTACGGTATAAGAGATGAATAAAATAAAACATGTCTTAGGTCCCACCCTGATCCATAATAAAATATTAAGTATTTTATCGTATCATTGATCTTGTTCGTTGAGGAAAGAAAAACAAGTTAAAAGACAGCGAGGTAACATTGGTAAAGATCGAAAATAAGACAGAAATCCTTACAAAAGAAATTAAGATCCCCTTTTTCAACTAAATAGGTCAGAACAAATTTAAGAACATAATGAGAATAAATCAGATCGGTTCAGTCAACATCGTTATATTATACATATTTGACGAATGTTGGAGAATACTTGCTAAAACTACTCGTACTAATTAATGAGGATTGGTCTAACTACAAAACACTAGGATAAGAATCGATTTTGTTTTTGTCTCTAATATAACTTATGAGTTGGAAGCTCGGTAAATATTTACTCTGGTGTGGTTACAAATATCTATAGTGTAAAACATGTACTAAAACCAGTTTATTATGTTTATATTTCTATATCAATACTTCAAGTCCGAAATAAAAATTATTAGATGATATGAAGCTTGATTAACTCTAAAAAGTAGGTTATAATTCTGTGCATATTGTGTGAAAAGTATGAAATCTAACAATTATTGTAATATGATGAGCTTCTTCAGAAAGAGTAGTACCTTATTACATTGAAAGCCATTTTAGTCAAGTGAAAAAGACATTATTATTGCAACCAAGTATATCTGAATTTATAGAACTGACACTTGCAACACGTTTGATAAACAGATAAATTTGTGATCATGTTTCTATATTTCAGTAGTATTGCGTTCTCTGAGCTGAATTGTTTGATTTCATTCCTCTCATTATCGTTCCAGACAACATCAATACCTTCTTCATATTTATAATGCTAACATACAATCAAATTATTAGATTTCAGACGAATAGCTCTAGTCCTGTTTTACTAATCATCCAACTTGATAAGAGTATACAATACAAATTCAATCCAACTACAAGATGAACCTTTATTTATCGTTTTGTAATCACTACTGAAACCCTATAGTTGATTATCCTGCGGATAAGTACACTTATTTCAAGCTTTATTTTTTCTTCCAATTTTAATTTAGCTGAACTAAAAATTATTGTCTGTGACACAATATCTCAAGCTTGCCATCTGAACAAAATCAATCCACATAAACTTAAAGTATTTATTATTATGGAGCCAGACAACACATTCGAATCTTTTAAAAAGAATGGTCAGATAAAGTTCGATTGTTCACATTTGAAGAGATGTTGGTATGTTAAACTAAATAACAAAAAGCATTTATTTTATTTGAAAGGAATTAACTATAGAAAACTGGAAGGTTTATGATCATGTCTACGTAAAACCACCGTGTCTGGGATTCGTTTTTATTTCTACACAGATTTTCAAGGACTAAAGTTGGTCACTTTCACTTATAAATTACGAAGTAGCGATCATCTATTCTTTGACTTCAATGAATTCTTTCTTTTGGAAAATATCCCCATATAATCAGCTGAGGGATTGTTGATGAAATCATTGTTTCAGAGGACGTACTTCAGCTAAACAATCAACCAAGACTGTGGGGAACCTTAAAGTTAATATATTTGAGTTTGAAACTTCTCAATATTATGCAACCACTATTTCATGCGCTGTCAAACTCAGGGTATTTTAATCTTTTTGTGGAGCGTATTGCTTTCAGACCCCTAAATAGAAATCAAATGGTTCATATATCCACTTTTATATTTCGTAACAGTTATTAAGTTTAACTGGTAACATCTGTCTCACTAACGAACTAAAAGTTAGTCGTGTGCTCACTTATGACTTTTTTTCGATGTGAATTTGTGAAGTTCAAGTGATAAATCATAACTGGTATATTCCAGCTATATAAAGAATAAGATTGATATTGTCAGTTGTACTAGATCTCAGGAGTTGATTTGATTTGCAAATGTGAATCATTTGAATTCGACAAAATTATCTGAATGCGGAGTGCCCAACTCGAGGATTAATGCTTCTTGAGTTCGATAATGTATAAAATCATAATTGCACGAAGTTGGAAAGTTTTAAGCTATGACACAACAACTGTTTATTGGTACATATTTTCACTGCTTAGCCAACGGCATTCACCGATCTGGGGTACATAGTGTCATTTTCAGTAGAAGGCATAAATGTGTAATTCTTTTCTTGTCCATTATGCATAAGTTTATTCTTTAACTTAAAACTAGAAATCGCGTTTGTTTTAGTCAAGTCATTTTCATTATTCAATTTCTGTCAGGTCATACACTGATGAAATGATGCAAACTCACTTAGATTACCAACTAGAGATATGGAGTATTAAGATGAGAAAATTCGTTTATTAAGACATGATAATATAGTTAAGCGGATTATATATAACATATTATACACGTTTGACAAAAATTTGATATCTCTGTTCACGTATACATGTGTCGTATTCGTAATGCTTATGTAACATAATCAATAAACTTTCAGTTAATTTTAAAGGATAAAGTATGGTTTTAAGAATCCTGATTGTTTATATATATATATATATATATATATATATATATATATATATATATATATATATATAATATTGCATTCAAATACGTGACATTGACAAAGTGAACCACTTAATTATAAACACGAACTATTACAGTGTTGTTATATATGATTTTAAGTAATTCAAACAAATCCTAATTCTGTAAAATTTATCAATCAAGAGAATTATAAACGTTAGTATGAGGGAAAAAACCAATAGTAGAGTGTTATAACATCAATTAAGTGTTTATTTTACTATTCATAGTTATGAATACGCTAACTTTTTTTATTAAGTGCATATATACTACTCTATTGTTTACACTTTGTATTATAGTGAGAAAAACTTACTTTTAGAATGAATCGATGATCTCTATTTTCAACCAGGAAAGTATTCACTCAGAACAATCAAGCTTACTGACGTATACTAGGTCAAATACACACTGAATAAAAAAGTAAACAGTAGCGAAAGATGAGCATTTATTTCGGTAGTTTAAATGACAGAATAATTTTTAGCCAGGTCTTTTGACTTTGATTAATTTAATACTGTGACTCTCTTACTGTGATAATGACAAGGATCTGTCTGGCAAAAAATCACAGGTTCGATTTGCAAAATGTAAACCAAGTTGCTTGGTTCATTAAGCTATAAATACCCATGTTTTCAATGGTATTTGCAACGTGAATTACATAAGTGAAAGATAATCTTCCACATAAGCGGTAAATCATAAAATTCCAATGAAGTCTCAGATAACTACGATAATATTCACTCTTCTATGAAAGAAATATTTAGGAAGTGCAATATTTGCTATTAATCCACTGAACAAAAATGATGAAAGGCGCCTATAGAGTCCTTACTATGCGACTTGCAATTTAACCATGCAGTTTTTGTTTTCAGCTATTTACTTCACAATTTATCCTTGATTTCGTAATGAAGAACCCTAATATTTACTTATATTTCAGGAAAAAGGATGTACTAATCGTTTACCTGAAAAGGTAAGTCAGCAGAACCGTCAGTTGGTTACTATTATATAAACTGTTCTTTTCGATATTGACATATTTGAATATAGTCGTGTTAGCGAACCAATTGTTAAGTTTTTTGAATTTGTTTAGAAACGTTGTTGATTCTTAGTATTGAATGAATCGTAGCCTAATAAAAAAAATTTATACCAACCCTCCTACATTACGAAGAGATATTTGATTTGTCGTAGCTTCCACTTCTTAAAGACAGTGATTAAAATATTAAGAAACCGAGGTTTAAAACGTTTATCTTAAATAAACCAAATCAATTCTTTCTTTATAAAATGCATCATCCTGTGAAAACCTCTTAAGTAATTCTGAAATTATTTCAAAATACGTGGAAATCATCTACAAGCTCAGTAATTTCAATATTCGAATTTCTTCTAAGCTCAATAACCATTTAGAGATTGAACAATTAATGTGTTTGAGATTGACAACTCAATTATATATATATATATATATATATATATATATATATATATATATATATATATATATAAATTGATCAGGAAGGGGTAAACTTTCAAAGTAGTTCTTTTGGGTGATATGATTTTATAGAGTGATGAAAGTAACACTTACATGTAGTACATAACCGTTAGATAGTTTACGGTAAAGATTAGCGTCAAGCGTCATTTGATAAAGCCATTCAGTTAAAATGAATGACATTTCTTCTTTCGAATGGCACAATGATTAACTTGATTTTCTTCAGGCAGATGATTATTAGTAATTTATTATAACTGTAAACTCTTTTCACACGACAACAAAGGTTTGTAAAAATACAGTTTATTACTAGTACATATTCTTGAATATTTTAATTCAATCTCTTGTAAGTTCTGTACATAGATATTAATGAAAAAATGAAATACGTAGAACGCTATTAGTCGTTTTTTCGATTTACAGTAATGTTTCTGTTGTGCTGATTCACACATCCATCTTGAAATAGTCATTTGGTCGGACAATAAAGTATATAGTACCTCACATTTCAAAGGGATGATAGTCAGAATATTACAATAATTAAATGATTGTATTAGGAAAATAGTATACCATATAATCATTATAATTTTATTGAAATATAATTTTAAACAGAACTTATCCATATCCATGATTCTAGCTGAATGTCAACAACTGATTTCAATATTTGCGATTTTCTGTCCTAAAAAAGTCATTATTCAGTTAAAAAATTATTATTTTTTCGTGAAATATGGTTTAAGTAAGTTTAAGTCACCATATACCGACTAATATGTTCTTTTTTAAGCTTCTGCTTCTACATTTTATTTTTAGGTCCCGGATGATAACGATCTATGCATGATATTATATACCAGTGGATCACTAGGTAGATTTATTTATAACACTGGAAATCGACAATTTTCATGTATTTGTAACAAACGAATGTCATTTTAAGGTTTAAAAGCAATTTAGAAAGTTAGAGGACACTGAAAGCACACCTTAATGTGAAATAAAATAATTTAATCTTAATTCATAGACTCCATGTAGCCTATTCTAACGACATTTATTGAGATGTGATAAAAAATAATTTTCAACTAGAATAAATTAATATACTGAAGACTAATTAGTGAATCCAGACAGTTAATATCTAATTCACTTTTATTCTTAATTAACATATGATTGGAGAGGATCACCTTGAGTGAAGAAAATTTTCACTTTTAACAAATCCATTACCAATTACCGAATACACGAGTTGGATCAACTCAGTGAATTCAAATGTATAAGCAGGTTGAATATAGAAAAAAATGTAATTAAGATAAAAACAGATAGTTTTTAAAATAATCATAATTTCAAGGAAATTGATCATTGGATAGAGTGTTATCATTAAAAATAATATATTTGTTATATACCATTGAGATAGTCTTCAGTCATTGATTTTGTAAACAAATGAAGTAGTAAAATAAATGACATTGTTTTTTGTAGTGCCGATATTCGGATATGAGGTTTGGTAGATCATAATACAAACACCATTGTCTGTTAGTAATCTCCATGTTAAAGTTCAAATAAAACAATCTATGTGAGCTGTTCGTTTCAAAGTCAGATATCTGGTAGTCATAGCTTGATTTGGTTAGTAGAAAATTTCACATTCTTTCTGTTGAACTCATCTTGGTGTTACATAAAATTTTTAAACTCCAAACTCTATATCTCACCGGTCGTTTTGAAAACAGTAACGTACTGTAAAAAGTCATATGCGCTAAATAATATAATTTAAACATGTGTCGATTATTTTCGATAGGTTCTTGAGTATTATGATAGAAATTTATTCGACCTGGCACACGTACTCTAGAATATATATCATAATACGTACTAAGTTGGAGTTTTGTACCTCAAATCTTTAAGTAGTTGTTGCTAAGTCTATATCATAAGGAGGCGGACAGTTTGTGTTTGTTTTTTTTCTAATTAATCCAATGAAAATCATGAGAGCTAACCATTTATAAAGCCTATGTTAAATGAAGGCACCATAGAGATTTCCATTATCATAATTTACATTTCAAAGCAGTTAGCTGTTTACATTTTGAATAAATTCTCAATAAATTATGAACTTATAACTCTTAACAGTAATTATAACACTAAAACATTACCCTTAATTAGGTTCGTAATTTAACGAAGAGCTTATGAAAATAATATGTTACGGCCTTAATTTTTAAGTGTCTAAAGCAGTTTCTATCATAGGGTAATATTAGCTGAAGAAATACTCAAAATCAAGATACAAAACTGTAGCTTCATTATATTCTATGACTTCTCTGCAGTGCGCACCTATGACGTCATGTGAGGTAGAATCAACGATTTTGGGATCTCCTAATTTAAATAATATTATAGAATCGTAGAGTTAAAATTCAGTGATTGAACTTTAACATTCAAGTAACCGGTGATGTAGTATGGTTATAATTCCTTATGGGATATGGGTTTCTGAATCAGTCAGGACTTGTCTGACTCCACCGATAAAGAATCAAGACCGAAGCGGTGAAATGGTGAAATTATTTCCAAGTGAGTACGCGATTATTATATCAATATTTTCTTTGAACTGTACAGTCTTTCATAAAAAGGAATATTACCATGGCCATACAGTATTACCATACTGTATAAAAACAGTGGCGCAGATAAACTATTTTCCTTAATATCGAAGCTACTGTTCAGCAAGAGTATATAAATCGTGAGAATTTGATTTTATACATTTCCGCAGTGATTCATGATGATTAAACTTTAAAAATTGAATTAACTGAACCAATGAATCTATATCTTAATTTATGCTATAACAGTTAAAGAAAACAGGAGTATACGATAAGTTTCATTGTTCTCATTTTTCATTTACCCTTTTTTCCACTAGGTTTACCCAAAGGAGTTATGATAACAAACAAAGCTTATTTAAATGCCGCAAAGCTAACTATTAGCTTGGCAGAAGAAAATGTTAGTCTAGAATTAATAATAATAATATTCCTAATCTAGTCAAATATCGTATATTTTGAGACATATATTCATAAAATAGTAGATATATTTATATATGAAGTTAATTGTCTTTTTTACCATTACTAATTGAAAGAAAACGTTTGTTGTTTGATAGAGTTTTATTTTGGAAGATAGACCCCTTTTGGTTTTATTTAGTCAAATTCATGAGTTGGGAAGGAGGAGAATAAATTCAAGGTAACTCCTAAGCATAAAGTTACATAGATTTTCTCTTAACTTCAATCGTCGTTACTGTATATATTGGAGGACAAGATAATCAAAAATGCTTCAAACAGTTAAATAAGAGATTTAAGTGAAAGCAAAAGAATAAGTATCTAAAGGAAATTTTCAAACGATCAGAAATATTTTCTGCATTTACCTGATGACTGATTTATGAATCTCATGTAATTATATTTTGTTAGCTTTAAAACAGGGTTTTTACCGTTTTCATAAATGATTTTTGTGTCAGTTTCTTACACACCAATATTCCTGACAGCAAAACCAGAGTATTTTGTATTGCTATTAGAAGTTTTATATGTTGGGATCCACTGTTCTTTAAATGGACCAGTTTAACTTTATTACTAAACATAGATTCACGTTTGTTCGAACGACTACTTTCTGTTTAATTAGGATGATTTTCTCTACTGATTAAAATGAGACGTATCTTAACAGATAATAATTATATTGGTTTTCCATCAAAAATTATCAATAATTTACAATGAAATTGTTCTATATTTGTATTTATGAACTTTTGACCTGTCTTCATGCTTTTATTTTCATGAAATCATTTGATTGGGACACATCATTTCGAAATATTTGCTAACGGTATGGATAAATAAGCTATGATATTTGAGGTTTTCTTTCCAAATAGAATACATATAATTTCATGAAGTTTCTTTGAGTATTTCACCGGAACGGCTGTAAATATGGCTAACATCTGGATCTTCTTTAATGACTATCTCACTCAAAGGAAACTAAATGCTCCATTACCTGTACCTTGATGGTTTCAGATTCAAACGTTGTCAAAACGAATACTATATACTTAGCTGAACTGATCAACTAACCTTTGCATCGGCAACCAGTAACTTGAAATAGTAAATTCCTATAAGATAAAATGCTTTACCATCACTGATATCTATGAATGGTGGGTTTAAAAAAAGTATGAAATCCTGTTAGCGCTTACTTTCTTAATGTAAATAACGATTTTAAGAACGGGTTTTATAATGCATTGACTATTATTTGATTATCGGTATAGTGTAGTGGAGATTGTTTAGTTTAAACTGGTATCATGAATGGATCAATGTTAGACCACCATTGAAAACCTGATAGTACCGGACGGCCGTTTCGTCTTAGTATGAGACTCATCATCACTACGCATTTAATTTTCTTAAACAGCAGAAAACAGCTAAGATAGCATCAAGCACTTAAAGTTTCATTATTTGTCGGAACTGAACGTAAAGAATAAAATGTAAACAAGATTCCCTAAATAATATTGTATAACTAGTTTACATTTCATATTCACTCGACGAATATCAAAATGCTTCTCATACTAGTTCACCATTAGACTACCTCATATTTCATCATCTGATACGTTATTTAGGATGATAATTAGTTTTCTGTACGACTAATTTCGTTCGAGGTAAAGACCGGTGTCAAACAAGGTTGCTCACTCTCACCCTTTCCTTTTCTCCTGGTGATCAACTGGATCATGAAGACGTCAACGTCTGAGGGGAAGCAGAGGATACAGTGGATAGCTAGGATGCAGCTGGACGACCAAGACCTCGCAGATGATCTGGCTCTTCTATCGCACATATAACAACAAATGCAGGAGAAGACCAGTGCTGCTGCAGCATCTGCAGCAGTAGGTCTCAACATACACAAAGGGAAAAGTAAGATTCTCCGACAAAACACAGCATGCACCAATCGAACCACACTTGATGGAGAAGCTTTGGAGGATGTAAAAACCTTTACATATCTGGGCAGGATCATTGATGAACTCGGTGGATCTGATGCAGATGTGAAGGCACGGGTCGGTAAGTCAAGAGCAGCATATCTACAATTGAAGAATATCTGGAACTCAAAACAACTGTCAACCAACACCAAAGTCAGAATTTTCAATACAAATGTCAAAACAGTTCTACTGTCTACTGGGGCGGAAACCTGGAGAACTACGAAAGTGTTATGAACGGGGAATTAAGAAGCCCAGACAATTACGAAAGCTATTTTCTTGGGACGTTATTGCATTTCATTCAAAACCTGTAAAACACTTATATTTATTCTTGTCCCTATCTTATTCTACATAACACGAGCTTTCGTTCTATGTATCATTCACTAGCATACCCTTTTTTGTTCCAAAAATATTGTAATTTAAACATTATATTTTGAACTATATTTCCTACCCTAATTCCCTGTTTCGGGCATAACTGTATTTTTCCAAATTATCGTACGTCGTGGTCAAGATATGCACTTATTTATTCATGTACATTTTTGTAGTAATCCGAATTCAGAGAATCCAGAGTTTAGTGTTCCAACTGTCTTGTCTTCTTTCACTTGCGTGCTTGCCAACCAATCAGGATTTAGAATAGTTCTCTCTACCCCAAGTCGAACTCACGCGTATTAGACTCAAGGTTAAGCCACTCAGCCTAACGCGTCAAGGTCATAATTTAGACTACACAGACCAAGGTCAAGTCATAACAAGTATCACGGGGTAAAAGCGATTCAAGGTCATAACAGAAAGCCATCATCCAGAAGATAGAAGTGTTTATTAACAGCTGTCTACGCAAAATACTTCGGATCCGTTGATCAGACACTATCAGCAACAACCTATTGTGGGAGAGAACAAATCAGATCCCGGCAGAGGAAGAAATCAGGAAGAAGTGCTGGAAGTGGATAGGACACACATTAAAGAAAGCACCCAACTGTGTCATAATCCAAGCCCTCACTTGGAATCCTCAAGGCCAAAGGAAGAGAGGAAGACCAAAGAACACATTACACCGAGAAATGGAGACAGACATGAGAAAAATGAACGAAAATTCGATAGATCTGGGAAGGAAGGCTCAGGACAGAGTGTGTTGGAGAATACCGATCGATGACCTATGCTCCATTGGGAGTAACAGGCAATACTACTACTACGACTAATTGGTTATTTGTGTGTGAACTGCTATTTCCAGGGAGAACAGTCTAATAAAGTATAAATGATTGCTTAATCATGTTGTGTATTTACTAATGATTAGTAATCAAACACAAAATATTAGCTGCAAAATAGATATTATGTACGAAATTTGACCTAGTAATATGGTCATCTTCGATCCAGAATAATATGTTTTCATGTGGCTGTAGAATTCAGTGTCGACACATTGCATTTCATATGCAACAAAAAGATGTGCGAATGCTTTTCATTTTATATTTAGACATCTAAGAAAGCTATCGCCTTTGATGCGAACAATATCGATTTTCTGTATTTCTTGAAAAGAGAGATTGAGCCTAGCAGGTTTGATGTGATTTCTCTCAGGGTTTTTTCTAACAAAAGAAAACGTATTGAGTATGAAAGCAAACAGTACGCATTATAAAGCTCTGTCAGGTCTTGTACAAAACGAATATGATGTTCTTGATTATTAGCACTTGTATTTTTACGTTTATATTTTATTATGTTTCAGCATTTTTCAACTGAAGATTTGTCGCATGTTTCATTCCTGCCTTTATCACATACGATGGAACAGCTAACGATGGCAAGTTAATAATAAATAATTTGTATTCACATAAAGTTTGAAGGGAAATTACCTAATTAATTACATTTCATAGAAAACACTATCAAGCATGATTATATACATTTATGAAACTTTTAAATTTGGTTAAAGGCAAATTACAGAAAAATGTTTACATTAGGGCTCATGGTTTTTGGTTCTTCCAAATCATCCATGCTTTGAAATCTATTCATATGGCTTTTTTGTTAAAACATTTATTACCCAACTTAACCAGTCATAAACGTCCTGGCTAATTTAAGCTACCACTACTCATTCCCCAAACGAAATGGATTACCTTGAACGTATAACGTGAAGGATAATAAATACTATCACATCATCTTAAATATTGACTCTATTTGAAATAAAATATTCACTTCACTAACGCCTGTTATCTCTGGCGAAAAAGCATATATCACCCATGAGTATTCATTAGGTATGTCAAGAGCACTCCATTCTAGTTATTATTGAGTGCTATTCATTCTTTCGATGTCTGCTTCTAATTCCCGACGAAATGTATTCGTTGGTCTCTCTATTACTCGTTTCCCTCCAAGATTCCAAGATGGCGTCTGCCTTACTATGCAGTCTGATGATTTTCACAATGTATGACCGACCCAACTCCAGCACTTTTTACTTATTTCCTCCTCATTTGGAAGCTGGTTTGTTCTCTCCAACAGTAGACTGTTGCTGATGATATCTGAGCAACGGTCATTCAGTAACTCGTGTAGACAATTATTTATAAATACTTGGAATTTCTTGGTGACGGCTGTGGAAGTTCTCCAAGTTCCAACTCCGTACAGTAGAACTGTCTTCACGTTCGTATAAAAGACTCTGATTTTGATGTTAGCTGACAGACGTTTTGAGTCATATATGTTCTTCAATTTTAGGAATTCTGACGTCACTTTCCTAATCCGTGCCTCTACATCTGCATCGAAACCTTGTGGGTTCATCGATGTGTAGAAATTTTCATTCCTCCCAAGATTCTCAATCATGTGTGATTGTGTTCTCCTCTGTGTATGTTAAGACCCACTACTGTAGATACTGCTACTACATTATCTGTATTCACCTTTATTAGTTGTTAATAATAGTATAGAAGAGCTAGGTCATCTGAGAAGTCCAAATCATTTAAAGGCATCCAAGCTGTCTATTGTATTCAGTGCTCCCCTGAGATTCGGAGGCATTTATAACCCACTTAGCTGTACTCCATGCAACACATTGCAGTGTAGTCCATCGTATGAATTCCTTATGATGTTGACAATTTTCTCAGGTACACTGTAGTGTCAAAGAAGGTTGCATAAGGTTCTCCTTTCCACGTTGTTAAACACCTTCTCATAGTCAAGGAATTTGATGTATAGTGACGAGTTTCATTTAATTGACTGTTCAACAATGGTCCATAATGTCGTGATTCGGTCTGTGCACAACCGATCCTTACGGAATTCGGTCTGTTGATCTCGAAGTACAGTGTCCACCGAATCTTTCATCCAGTTCAGCAATACTCTCTAGAAAACTTTTCCTGGTACCCATAGTAGTGTGATACCTCTGTGGTTTCCACATTTGCTTAGATCTCCTTTCTTTGGTATCTTGATGAGGTATCCTTTTCTCCAGTTCGTCGGGACTTGTTTCTCCTTCCAAATCTCCATGTATAGGACTTGTAACATGTTTGCGGTTGCTTCTATGTCTGACTTCAGTGCTTCAGCTGGTATATTGTCAGGTCCTGCTGCTTCCCCACTATTCATTTGTCTGATGGCTATCCTGATTAACCCGATCGTTGGTGGGGTGACATCTATAAGAAGGTTTATAGGCGCTGCTTCGATGTCCGGTGGATTTAATGGGACCAGCCGATTCAAGAGCTCCTCAAAGTGTTCTACCCATCTACTCATCTGTTCTTCAGTTTCAGTGATTGGCTTTCCTTCTTTGTCCTTGACTGGTCTCTCTCGTTTACTATATATCCCTGTCGGTTTCTTCGTTGTGTCATATAGTTGTCTGATATTTTCTTCTGTTGCAGCTCTTCCACGTATTTCTGATTGTCAGCTCCAATGCTCCTTTTCACTTAATTGTTTGCTTCTGTGTGTTTGGCCTGTGCCTTGACTTTTCCTATTCTTGTTCAGCTGTTGTTATTTGCTGTCTTCTTGCTCTTCTTTTCTTGAATTCTGTCCGGAATCTCGACGGAAATTTATTCCTTATGATGATGCTTCTTAGGGCTCGGCACCTACTGGCACATTAGAATCTTCGTTTTTTATCCATTTTCATAGTAGTTTCTCCTTCTTTGAGTAGATCTTGTAAGACTTGAAACCTGTTGCTGTGTGTTATCTTGAATTCATTGAGTTTGTCATTATGTCGATGAGGCTGTATTTAACCTTTGTAATGCTGTTTCTCCAGTTGCTCACTTCTTCTTTAGCTTCAGCTTCATCTTTCCAACTACCAGCTAGTGGTGATCCAAAGAAATGTCAGCTCCTCTCCTGGTTCTCGTGTCTTCCATCGTCCATTGTGATGTAAATATAATCGACCTGGTTCTGTGTAGTGTGATCCGGTGGGACCCATGTAGCTTTGTGTATGTGTTTGTGGGGGATTATTGTGCCGCCCATAAGTAATTTGTTGGATACAAATAAATTTTCAAATCTCTCCCCCATTTTCGTTTCTTTTTCCTGGTCAGTCCATATCGTCCTTAGATATCTCCATACTTGTTATTTTCCATTCCGACTTTGACGGTTAGGTCTGCCATTAGAGTGGTCATCTTCTTGGACCTCTCCTACAATTAAGTTTGTTTAGGGTTAATTTTGCCAAGACCTTAAATTAACTTATTTAACAGCCTTATTCGAACAGTAACAATTTCTCAATGTCCGTGTATCATTTTTATCACTATCATGCCTATGTGAACATGTATGCTTCGTCACATTTGATAGACTACGCACATACTCGTCTCTCTAGCTTAAATGTTAATTGATTAAATATCGCTCCATGATTCATTCGCTTTCCCATATATATATATATATATATATATATATATATATATATATATATATATATATATATATATATATATATATATATATATATATATATATATATATATATATATATATATATATATGCTTGAATCCTACTGATTGATTCGACTCTGAATTTCCCCCTACATTCGCTTGCTTGAACATATTAGCTTTCATGCTCAAGTTCACTTGGTGTGCTTGTAGCTTTTTTATCCGCGCTATCCAACAATAAACTGTAGTCAGCCCTTCGTGTTGTATTCTGAATTCATAAACGGTTGAGATTTCTTGAATAAGGATTATCAGTGACTGATATAAGAATCCTAATGAATTATCTCGAAGCTAAGCCACTACAATGTCCTTTCCTGAGAATTTCTTTACGATTGACTACAGCTTCTCATGAGACCAAACTTTATCGTCTTCGCTGCTATCGTTGGTAGGTAAACAGTACTAGATAACGTATATTGTGATCATTTTTTCTTCGTTTTGAAGTATGTTTTGATAATCATGGATCCATGAGATTTCCATCCCATTAGTGTTTCTCGTGCATCTTTGGATAGCATCAGTGCAACTCCTTGTGTGTTGGAGGCATTTTCTTCTTGATGAACAGAGTACAACAGCACCACTCCAAAGTTAATCTTTTCTGTCCAGTTTGGGTCCAATGGATTCCACTTATTTCGAGCACCTCCAAGTTATATATCCTCATTTCCGTAGTTATTTGACTAGCCTCCCAGGTCCCCCACATTGTCCGGACATTTCATGAACCTATATTAATTGTTGCTCTGGTTGTCAGAAGGTAAATCATCTCGTGACTACTGAAAAGTTTCGGCCTTCGCCATGAGACGTCATAATATTTCTGAATGAGAACCTTTCAACTCACAGAGTAGAGTCTTAATCGTTTAGATTGTTTATTCTGGCCAACATTTTTTTAGCATGGTCGTTTTCTACGGAGTTCGCTAACCTCATCTCCAACCCTCCTTTATTCGGGATTAAGATTGGACTATAATTTTCATTTACTCATCCTAGCGGTCCCACTGAATACTATTTATGTGTTCAGTATTTAATTTAAAAAATGATCGAAAGTGAGATTCATTCCACTCAACATTTAATCTGAACACGTCTTTAGCTGCATAATAGTTATGTGATATTATGAGTCATTTAAAAGAGAATCTAATACGAAAGTTTAAAATGTATGGTGATTTTATTGGAGTTAACCTTTCAAAGTAGTACTCAACGTTCATGACTGGTGGATTTTTAAATATAAGTACCAAATAACTTGTTTTCAAATCATCAATAAAATATCTATTGTTTTTCAGTAAGCAAACAGCTTTGCTACTAAGTTAGTTAATTTTTTTGTCATGTCTTCATCGTTGGAAAGTATTTTTTGACAGAGCAAGAGTAGTGCGGGTGTTTCATTAAATAGTAAGAGAAATCTAATCCAATATTTCTCACAGAGAGCTAAGCACTGATGCTCCGAATACATAATAAACGAGGAACTAATCAAGCTCCAGAAATAGTCATTAAAACAACTACCAGTTAAGATCCACTGAAAGAAACTTGAAAAAAAACCAATCTGGAAGATCAACTGCAGTTCACATTAAAATTCTTCATTAATATTGAGTTCAAGGAAGATACTCTAGCATAAACTTTGAAAAAACGACTAACGAACTTTTTAAGAAAAAAGATTGATCGTTTCAAACTTGAGCTCTGTGTTCAAAAGCGACACGTTCAGACTCTCATTTTACCATGACTCTCGTCAAGAGAACAATTTGTTACACATAGTCCCCTTTATTATCTTGAAGAGATCAGGATTGGAGATTGGTGCTGCTCCAATCTTCGTTCATGCTCTCTTCAACAACAATTTATCTTTTACATAGCTGACTTCATCTTATTATTTCTTTTTTAACTAGTTGAGCTTTACATAACCCCCTTTCGACACTTTATATTAAATAATTCTCTTTCTGTTTTTAATAGACTACTTTATTTGTTAAATCATCATAGATAAGGTTACACGGCTTGTGCAAATGATATATATGTACCAGATGCAAAAATTATCCATAATGAAATCTGCATTTTAATCCAGGTATTTTAGTTATAGATTAATATTCTTCGTCCTCCAGCAGTAATTTTTTTTTAAAAAAGAGCTACTATTAACTTGCTTTTAACTGTTTAACTTTATTTCAAGTGACTTAATCTCACAAGTAATTTGGTACTAAGTTTCATTTCATTGCCTATTCTTTCAATTAGATATTGGCCATGTTTTCTGGTGGTCGAATCGGTTTTCTCACTGATGGTATTGAGTCATTATTTGATGATTTTAGAGATTTTAAGCCAACGTTTTTTTGTTCTGTTCCAAGATTGCTTGTTCGATTATATATGAATTTTTCCAAAAAAGTGCATTCTAAACCAATAATTCGGAAAGTATGTCAATACGAAATAAACAAGAGAATGGAAGAACAGAAACAGTAAGTAGTTATGAAAAGTTCAAAAGGGTAACTAGTATGAATACATATATTAATGTGTGTGAATATGATCCTTTTTGTGTTTATCATTCAAACTAAACAAAAGAAATGGAGAAATGAATATTTAAGTTAGCATTCTATTTGTTTCAATTGAAATGAGATTTTGTCGTGAATATTTCTCAATTTTACATTAAAATAACTTTTATAATAATTACTTGTTGTAGTGGAATATATCGAAGGAATGGAATAATAGATTTCCTATTTTTTCGAGAATTTCGTGAACTACTTGGTGGTCGAGTAAGAGCTATTATTTCAGGTAGCTCTCCAATAGATAGAGATGTTCTTTGCTTTATTAGAGCTGTTTTGAGTTGTCCTGTAAGTCTAATATTTGAAATATTTTTCGTATAAGAATTCGTTTCTGATCTACTTGTTCACACAGAACCAACACTTATCTTAATTAGTACTGAGAATTTCCATTGTTTAAATAGGACCAAAGAATGTTCACCAGGTGCCAATCAAGAGACTATGTAGTAATATTTGCTCAAATCAATAAGATCCCGATAAAATATTATGTAAGATTATATTTACGATGAATCAAATCCATTCAGAGAATTGACCGTTTGACAACTGTTAATGACAGTCATAACAGAATGGTGTGGATTCATTTATTTCATAAATTACCTTCAGTGTCTCACAACTTAAACCAAAGGTATTAGTTATTTTATTAAAAGTTTGTGTAACTAATTCCATCACGCATCCAGTACTCAGACCAAAGATGATATAGATGTAGACTAATAAAAAGATAGAACTCACAATGTTCTAGGTACATACAACTGAAAAGTCTAAAATAACTAGGGGCATTGTTAAATAATCCAGTTTAGGACTAGGGTAAGATTCCCAAAGTCGTTACTTTAATCACGTTTTCCGATTTCAACGTATACAAGGATAAAATTAAAGTACTTTCTATCATCCATGTAAAATCTCATTAAATAAATCAAGGATTTTGTAGACTCAAGATTCTACCTCAGTGGGGACCATTGTCTCTTGATAATAGACAAACCAAAACACGCAATACCGTTGGCTGTAGTAAACTTCAGTCAGTACTTTATGAAAATATACGTAATCTAAGATCATTGCTGAATACTGTGTGAATATAATTTTTCGATTCTGGAGATTCTTTAGATCTCAATTTTATCATTAATTCTATTAAAAGTTTCTTAACTAAGGGGAGTACGATTTTACGCAGGAATACAAACATGAGTTGATACAGTATATACAAAACATTATGAACATCATTCCTTTTTAGAATAATGACATTCTTACCATTTTAATAGCAATCTTTGAACATTGGCTAGGTTAGTGAAGCATACGGATCGACAGAAACACTTGGCTTAGTATGTAGTACAATGTTTGAAGATGTTGATGCTTACCATGTTGGAGCTATTTCCCCTGGTGTGCAAATTAAACTAATAGATGTTCCGGAAATGGGTATATTCGTATCCAAAGATCAAATGGGAGAGGTAACTTTCTGTTATATTTCATTAAAGATTTTTGTATGCTAATTAATAACCACGAACTATAATAGTTTCAAACCAATGGCAGGTCCGTTTCGCTGAGAATTTTAATAGATAGCTATTTTACGAAAAAAAGGAATTTTATAATTTACGATTATTTTGTTTAAACCTATCAACTAAAAGTCATATGTTCAACTTCCTTACTTGGTTTATTTATTCATTTATTATCACCTAAAATGAATAATGAATAATTACTTTTGAGACCACAAATATCAGTAATATTTCTGTATCCTACAAAACTAGCGTTTAACATGAACTGGAAACAGCATGGAGATCTATTTTGATACATATTAAATTATTTCGATAGCAGAGAACATCTTGATTATTTTTGGCATATTTCGTCATTCAAAATCTTGATGATCAACTTTAAGGGATTTATTATTTTGGGATTCTAATTAGGAGTTAAATATTTACTGTTAGGTATGCTGAGGAATATACCAATCATTATCACTTTAAGTCTAATGATGTCCTTGGACGTTAAATGGACATTTCCTATTGGCCATTATTTATTTCATTCGTTAAATATTGTACAAATGTCGTTTTCTATTTTTATGGTACGATGTGGTCTGTTTGGTCAGTATATAAACAGAGTATGTTTGGAATATAATGATTCATAACTCAGAGGCTGTGACTTGCGTTCTAGACTCAACTGGCTGGGCTAGACAGGGAAGCGGGACCAATCGGGACTCTAGGTCGTCCTTACGTGTCACTGTAATCGATCAATAAAACGCTGCTCCATCTAACCTGCAGTCACCCGTTACAACATTTACTAAGGTTAATATTTACTCAGTTTATAAGTTTTGAATGGAATGAAATCCTACCACAACCTACTATCGGCTATTATTGCATAATATCAAAGTGAAATATGATTCAGTGGATAAGAATGGAAACATAACTGTAATATACCGAGGTACTTATGTACATTCTTAGATTTGCATCATCATCAACTTCATAATTAATTAATTTGATAGTTTTAGTCACTACTTTCAAACTGATAAAACTTACACAAGTAAAATTACATGATAACTGAGTATAATTAAGACGAAATGTTTTGATTTCACCTATTTTATCTCACTCGAATAAAAAAATTTGTTATTGAAAGCATCATAATGTACAAGAATCTTTCAGGTACTTTATGATTTGAAATTAAATTTTCACCTTAAAATCTAAGCAAAAATAAGTAAATTTAAATTTTTACCAGCAATCGAATCAAAGATATAAGATACGTCGAGGCAATCCCCTCGGAAAGCACATAATAACAAATAGTGATTAAAGTCTTAGTGACGATGAGATGATCCAAACGGTTATATAGGAAACCAAGTAACCATCAAGTTGTTGAGTTTTGTTTCTCACAGATATGAGAATAACAGACCGATTATAAGGATTAAATAAAGAATATTGTAAAGTTGAAAATTAGTCATTGACACTGGCTACTCACTACTAGGTCAAAATACATAAAATACGGGAAGGAAAAACATGACATAAGTTTATTTTATTCGAAATAATTAAAACATTTATAAGTTTATAGAAAGAAGGAAGTCAAGTTTAATTATTCATATATTAGAAAAAGTAAAAACAAGTCGTTTTCCTCTGATTTTTTATAAATAGATAAAGTATAAGTAACTGTAAAACGAATTTTCATTACTAAAAAATCGTGCATTTTTGAGAATCGCTTTATACGTCATGCTCTTGTCAATTCAAATATGTTTATGTACACAAAGAAAACAAAAGTTTTCAAGTTTAACTGTAATCTAGTAAATATGCATCTTAATAAATAATAAAACATTCTAATAATTAAATATCAGTTTGACGAGATCTGAGTTAACTTTGTCACCTGAGTCTTAGTAACCCGTGGAAACATTTATACATTATGCTAAGTATGTTCTAATCACAGGATATTTCTCATCATGATATATCTATCCGTAAGTGGTTGAGGTGAATGACTACGAACTCAAATTAATAACCGGTGAAACAGATGCTCATATGTACAGGAAGCTATCAAATCATACATTCACTAAGCATTCGTAAAATTTTAAAAGTTCATGAGAGAAACCGATAGGTTTTTAAATAACACTTACAGAATATACATACAACAGATCTTGGCTTTTAAGGTATTCTGAATGAGCAAGGTAATAGCTGCTTGACAATTAAGAGGTAAGCAATAAAACAATGTCCTAAGAGACCTCAGTTTATGGTGTCATCATTAATATTCTCTCTGCCGAAAGTAGTAATTTATTTTGATAAGAAGGTCTGCACATAGCTCGTTCATCTAGAGAGATGTCAAATAATTCGAGATGATAGAGATCGTTTAGCAAAAAGTCTGAGTATTTCTGTCAAATGCATCCTAGGTTGCAATAGGATCTTAATATCGTATACTCTTATAATAAACAACAGCAAAGTAGTAGTTACGAGTAGTGAAATATGTTGTGAGTAGAAACAAAGTGTAGTTTTCAACTCAGATAGATGATGTGTTGTTTACCATAACAAATTTATTTTCCAACTTAACTAATGATCCGCATTATAGGATAATGCATGGAGACACAGGCTAAATATTTTGGTGTATGTAAAACAGTCACGTCACTTAAGTTATCCACAATCAATGAAAGTTTAATCTAAGTGAGACAAATTATTTCTGGAAAAGTAATTATGTTATGAATAATTACATCATTGTTTGTGTTGAAGTTATGGTAAAGTACTCAAGGTGTCTGGTTTGCTAAATTCTGTTTAACATTAATGTTTACTGCCTATCAAAGGTGAAACATTTAAGTGGCGAATTTTAATACTTTTCCAGTGACACCTCACATACCATGAAGAAGCAAAATATTCATTCAGTTTTGAAGATTACTTAAAAATAGCTTTGTGTAACCTAAAATAAAATAAAAAAATCAAAAGAAAAGCTAGTCAATAAAATGTTTGAACATAACCAATTGTCATATTAATGAAATTACGTAAACAGGGTTATAATTTTGTGACATAGGATTTTATGAACCGTACTAAAACTTTTATGTAACCTTGTAATTACTCCTACTGAACATCTTTATACACAAAACTTAACTTGTTTTGCTTCAGATATGCATTCGTAGTAAATCTAATATGCTTGGTTATTATAAAAATCAAGAAAAAACGGAAGAAGTCCTTGATTCAGAGGGCTTTGTTCACACGGGAGACGTTGGAGTTTGGTTAAAAGTAAGTTCTTTCTAATTAAAGTCAATAATAATTCCAAAGTATTAGTAAATTAAATCAATATTTGTTCTATCGGAAAGTCATTGGTCTAAGACATAATTGAACTCACATCTTCAATCATTTTAGTAAACTACATAAAAATTAAACATGGAAACCGTGAACTGTTAAGAGTCACCTATATTTGTGTTTGTGTTCTTCTGAAACCGAATATATTTCACACGTTTCGAGATTTAGAAAACGTGTTAACCTAGAGAACTTTTATCATTCCTAATGCCTTACACATTGATACTTTAGCATTCCGTTCAGAACCCCAACCAATACATAGACAAATAATTCATTGACGGAATGCTTTAACTTAAAAACTATGTGGTCGTGAATATCCAATATCTATTTGAAATTTTGTTTTTAACAATCATAACATTCTAAGCTCACTCTATGCATAAATGTTAAAATAAAAGTGAATTGGTAGATTTTAGAGAATTCTATTTTAACTATCTCTTGACAACAGCATTACTTCAGTTCACCGTTTTCCATGAGTGTTTAATTATCACAGTCTAACTGTGGTAAATATGGTTAGTTTTAAGAACATTAATCAATTGCAACTGAATTTCTTTTGTTTTATACCTTCACATAAAATTCATATATTTATCCATCAGTAATAATGATAGCTATCATTAAAAACAGCAAGCGTATCTTGAACACTTATCGAAGTTATTGAGTTCTCTAAGCTAAGAGAGTTCAACTTCTCCAACATCCTCACCCTGGGTTACAAATATTCTCCATTATCTAAACACATAATATTCACCAGCTATGAAAACTAATTAAAGAATCGGAAAACCTGACGACATGAATAACGGGGTTATTGTATTTACATATACATGGTTTATTCAATTTAAGTAATACTTATTCGATCTGCTTCGGTACTAACAATGTAAGGTAAAATTTATTTTATACGTATTAGATAGTCGATTAATTATTTTAACTAATAATTTTTTAGATGACAGTAAGGATCCGTATATTTTTGTTAGACTTTTGATGAAAACTATGATGCTAGAAGTCATTCATTTAGTGTAAGAATAAATTGTTCACATTATTTCAGCATAACATTCTAGGGAAATGATTGGCAGTAGATTGAAAAACAACTTATAGTTTTCTAGTATTTTTATGGAACTCTTCACCAATGCTTAGTACGAAATTTAGGCTGAGATATTCAGTGTTGTACTAAACATGGTATTTTCCCAGTTTCTAAATAAGAATAGGATAAGTTGTATCTTTCTAGATAGAAATTACCTACTGTTTGTAAATTTTTACTAATCATTCAGTAAAATGTCAAGATTGTATTCAAATACATCAACCCATTATTTATTCCCAACAGGTTTTTTCTACATAATACCTCTTAAATCTGCATTTTCAGAATCCTAACACAATTTCTGTATCTTCTTTATTGTAAATTTATTTCATGTTTCTCATAGAATGGAGCATTAAAAATTGTGGATCGAACGAAAAATATATTTAAATTATCACAAGGAGAATATGTAGCACCAGAGAAAGTAGAGCAAACCTACTTATTCTGTAATCTAATACAACATGTGTACGTTGAAGGTCATTCACTGAAACCTTATGCAGTAGCAGTGGTTAAACCAAACTTTAGAAGATTACGCAAGGAAGCAGTAGACATTATTAGCAAATTATCAAAAACAATTTCATCACCTATTGAAAAAAAGTGTGAGAACATGAAAGATAGAGAATTACTGGAGGAAATAACCGATGCTGAATTATGCACCAGTAAAGAAATACGTGAATTTATCTTGGAGAGAATGAACTCAATTGCTAGAGAAAAAGGTTTAAAGGGATTTGAACTGGTTAGTCTCATTTACAATAATAGATTCTTCTTTTTAAAATTATACATAGACAGAGGAAATGTTGCTGACAGTATAATACGCTTGTTACTTTACCTGGAATTTTTTAATCTATGTAAAACAAAGATCTAGGTAATATGTAGTGGCATAAAATGTTTTAGGAAATAATTGAATATTCTATTTGCAGAAAAGGGAATGTTAGTAGTGCAGTGTATGCTGCTTATGTCGACTTAAGTAGTATCTAACACCAATCGGAAATGGGATGATTGGCATCGGAAGGTTGGGAAGATCGAATCGAAGAGAACGGGAACGAAGATAAATTGTTATGGCGATGAAGGAAAAATGAAGTTTAAGACAACTGATGGAGGATTTGCAAATGAAGTATGGAACGTATAGTTTTCACATTTGTTGAAAGAACTTTGTTATTATGTAATAAAGTATATTGGTCGACCTTACCTATGTACTCGATCATAAAAGAAGTAGAGATAACTTGTTAAACTATTACGATCATTCCAATACACATTCTTATGATTGGCAACAAAAATATTTGAAAATATTTCATATATCTGAACTAATCTGAATTATATAAGGTCACCAGACACTACCAATATACATATTGTGATATATTATGTTTGTGTAAGCGCTAACTTTGCCGTCAATCGGCATTTTAAATCAAACGTATGTAAAAAAATAATGATAATGTTACTATCAAGACTATAAGAGAGAGATGCAAGTAAATGCTGACATTGATGTTTTATTTGCTAATCAGTGATTATTAGGAGATACATAAAAGACTTGGTCAGTCAGCTACAACGTAGAACCAGGCACATATATTCATCGGTCCAAGTTGCCATACCTCATTAGCACAATAAGATAAACACCAAATTCATAGAAATTTACTTCAATGGTACTAAAATATAAAAAAAGATTGTGCATAAGGATATAGCACGAGAAGAAAGAATTAGTTGGTAGAAAGAAGGATGTAAAGCAATTTTATTCTCGCAGTCTAAGTGAAGAAAAAGAGTGTATACACCTACGCCATTGTGATCGATTTTAAGCCATGTCACCCAGAGTCTCCAACCATCGGTGACGATAGTTGCGCGGACCCCAACCAAGTAGTCTATATCTATCAACATTGGCTCACACCGGAAGTTAGTGAATTTATGGACTGATGCCACGTTTTGGTCTGGCCGTCCCTAACTTTCTTCCATCTGTCTCCAACATTGGTAAGCATTGCGCACCGTCGTAATCGGTAGTTTGCCATGCGTAATACGCGGCCCAACCATCTCAGATAATGTACATTCACGAACTCATCAACTGATTTACCATCATTCCCTAATACCATGTGTCTAACCTCAATATTACTTACCCGGTAATCCCAGCAGATGCGAGCGATATTTCTAAGACATCTGTGGTCAAATACTAGTAACGTACGAGTATCCTTTATTCTTAATGACCACGTTTCGCAAGCTTGAGGTAAAACAGAACAAACTGCTGTGCCGTATGTTCATCCCTTAATTGGTAAACGGATAACTTGCCTTCGCCATAGGTGACGTAAGTTGACAAAAGCCAAATGAGCTTTTCGAGTCCGTGCAGAGATTTCTTCAGAGACCAACCCATTAGGGCTGACCAGATTCCCAACACAGGTGAAGCTGTCGGCACGTTCGACCACTTCACATCCTTATTTTAAATGTTGACACAAGTCCGTCCTGAAGTATCAGTCTGTATTTAGAGGTGGAGAAACGCATCTCAAACATCCTGATGGCCTCTTCGTGGGAGATCAATTCCGAAAATTCAGTCGACGAGAACGTTATTTCCAGCAGTAGGCCTATGATGAAATCGAACAGAATGGAAATAATGGACATCGTTTTCAGACACCATTTAAGGATGCGAAATCAGATGACATTCAGCTTTAGCTCTGACTCGACTGGTGGTGTTCGGGTAAAGAGCCTTCACAAGGTTCATGTACTTCTGAGGTACACCTTTCAATGACGGACACTCAGACAGAACCACTCGGTCTACCGAGTTGAATGCTGCTCACGATTGTGAGACTCCGATAAGCATGTCTGTGTTCTTAAATCTGACGAATAGTGAATATAAGGTCGATGCAGCTGCGACTAGGTCTGAAGCCAGCCTGATTTTCTCGTGTTTGCAGTTCACGGGCCTAATAGTATTTTAGATGCTGTGTTAATCAAACTAAATCCTATATGGTCATCAAAGGATGATTTTGATCCTTTCTTATATATTGGAACGATCAGTGATGGCGACCAGTTATATACGATTACATTCAACTCCCAGATTTTAGCTAAAAGTTCAATCAACTTAATCGCTAAATCTAGCTCGCCATCATTAAAGATCTCTAGAGTTGATCCATTTGGACCAGCTGCTTTTCCTTGTTTCAGATCAGCTATAGCTTTATGAACTTCAATTAGAGTCGGAGGCCTACTTCAATGTTACATTCAGGCTATTTGGATATGGCGGTTAGCTGTAGAGCAGCTGAACTGCTGCTTAAAGTGCTACATTCATCATCCCAAACGTCTGGATTGAGAGCAGATAAGAATGCAGACTTTTTCCGAGATTATCTCACACTTGAATTCTTAATTGCGGTTACCTATAGCCGTTGCTTTTTCCATCTGTTTTGTTTTCGTCGTCCACTACTGTTTGCGATCGCTCCTTAGACTTTTGATAAATTTAGACCTCATTTATTTTCGCTCTTCATTGTGTAGCATCCATTCTTCACTTCATCCGTGCTGCAGTCGATGGAAGCGTAGGCAGGAATGAAGAGCTCTTAGGGGGCCATTAATCCGACCAGCACATAAGCAACTGTTAACAGAGATCCATTCTAAAAGTTGTTCTTCCACCATACTTAGTGCCATGTCTACCCCCGCCGTCCACAAGAACTTGCCATCGGATCGCCAGACAGACGGAGGATGTCTCGTCAGCTCCCCACTTTGGCTAGATGAAGTCAAGTAAATGACTACACTAGGATCTTTCATGTGTGTTTCGAAGACAGAACACATCAATCGTACGAGATTTTAGAATCTTAAGCAAGGGGCTTGCCGGACGATTTCACACAGGATTTGTTTGCTATTTGTTTATTTATTTGAACACATAAAGATTGGTACAAGAGGGCACCAAATATATACGCGCCACACAAAACAATGAGAATTCGAAGAGAAAAAAAGTAAGGAGCGTAGAAAAAGAACAATACCGAATAGATTAGTGTAAGGTAGTGTAATACTAATAAAAATAATAATAGTAATAATGAGGTAAATGGGAAGGTACAATCAGAAGAAGTCTTTCAGTTAAGGAAGATACAATCATTTTTATGAAGAAAGTAAAAGAAGGTTACAGCAGGATCGCCACTGGCTTCTATTCTGAGTCATGTCTGATCACGTTTCAAACCACTGTGTTGCACCATCTCTCGGACCCCAGCCAGGTAGTCGTGCCTATAAGCGGGACGTTTCGCAAGCGGCTTTACTCGCCATTTTCATGGCGTCATGCAATTGCAAACAATGCTCATCTATACTTTTCGGTGGAATGGTAGCTAGCCTAGAAACTAGCTCGGTTCGATACTTACTTGCAACAGAAGTTGCAACCAACTTGCTAACATCAATCCTTTGGTGACGGTCACTTCGTTGGCCACTGAAAAGTAAGGTAAAATTGGCGCCGACCAAGGCATGGTCAGAGTCCAGATAGGCACTCCAAAAGGAGCGGCAGTCTTGTACACAGCCACGCCAGCGGTAGCTGATCGCGATGTGATCAATCTGAGTCCAGGCTTGGGATGCAGAGGGAGAACGCCAGGTGGCACATCGGCGATGACTGTGCCGGAAGTTAGTGCTAGCCAGAGACAGGTTGTGGTCTGTGCACAGTTGCAGTAGACAGTCCCCGTTATCTGTCCTGCAACCAACGAGTCCCCATCGACCACCTAAACGACTCTCTTCTGTGCCTAGACGCCCGACCTGAGCATTCAAGTCTCCGGCCAGTACTACAATATCTGTCGAACGCACTTTCTGGAGAAGAACAGATAACTGGTGGTAAAACTCATCCTTGATTGCATCCGGGCTGCAATCTGTCGGGGCATAGGCGGAGATGACGAAAAGACATCGTTTCTCACGCCGATTTCTTCTCACTTTGATGGAACTTTCTAATCTAACAGCACATAATCGACTGTTAATGGGGATCCAATCGATTAGTGCTGCCTCAGCTCTAGCGCTTAGTGCGACACCAAAGCCAGCAAGACCAAACGAAGATGCCACAGGGTCCCCTGATAAACTGATTATAAACACAGTGGTTTTGAATGCCATTAGAGGTACTAGAGCATCTATGACTTCCCGGTCGCCCACTTCGTGGAAAAGTTCTTATAGTGCTACTCGAAAAGGAAATGGAGTTAGAGTTGGTCTTTGTGGCCTGAGGATGTGACTGCAATTCCAAAGGGACAACTGCTTGAGGCAGACCACACACGACGTTTGTGTGGGTAATTTTCGTGTTAGCTCCGTATCGTTTGAGACTTTAACGTCCAGGATGGAAATTCATGGGATAAGACAAGTTGTGCATTTTTAGGGTTGACCTTTTCTAACCACACCCTTCGTTTGCGAGAAGGCAGCATCGCTGTTGTCCGAGGGAAACACCTTACTGCCGTCACATCTCTGTACAGTTAGCAGTACGACTTCGACCTATGACCTTGGGTTCACTGCTTTTAGCCTAACCGTTCTTCAACTGATTTGCTTGACATGCTAGAACCTCAAAGAACGAATGCTCCAGGCGGTATAGCCCGACCATCACGTGAAGATAGCAGCAACGGTCATGACATAAGTCTTAACGTCCAAGAAAACTACAGGATGAAAGAATCGGGCGTGGTATTCATGCAAACTAATGCTCAGAAAGTTAAATGATATTCGTCTTATTTTTTCATAAACAGTGAGCTTCAGTCGCACATATAAACGCCAATTATCAGTTTCTACATGAAACTGTCAACCATTAAGCATTTTTTTAAAGTGACGTAATCGCCAATCAAAACAAGTGATGTTGGTGCTGAAAAATGTAATTATATATATATATATATATATATATATATATATATATATATATATATATGTTTTAACCTTAAATACAGGCCCGCAATATCTACTTAACACCAGAACCGTTCACAGTAGACAATGGATGGTTAACTCCAACAATGAAACTTGCAAGGATAAATCTACGAAAACATTTTGCAAATACTATTAAAAATCTGTACGAAGAAGAGAAGAGCTGTTAACTACTGGTTGTCAATATTTTGACACAAGGCTATTTTATATTATGTGGTTTCATTCACTTATTTTAACACTACTCATTTTCACCTTTTTCAATAACAGAGAACTATTGTGCTTTAATTTTGCTCTTTATTATTTCTCAAAAAACTACGTATATTTTTGCCATTATTTACTATAGAAACAAGTATCCATAACAATCGTGTAACAACTGCTCTTTCGAATTGTTAAACGAGTTTTTTATCATTCACAAGTAAACGGATCACCAATGCCACCCGAAAGATAAGAACACAAAAAGTCATTAGAAAGTGGTGTATGTACTATGCGAGGACTTAGGAAACGCTTTCCTTCTTATTGAACCCAAGCGGATTGGAGGCTTCGGGATAGGGACTCGTCAAAATGCTTGGTGATGAATTTTAGTTTTTGTGATATGAATAAACTACTTTAAGTACAAAATATTCTCAAAAGTAGTATGATGAATGAACGAATCTGACCATGCATTTGAAACAAACCGAATAATTGACCAGATGTCTCTTAAAACAAAGCTCAGTAAATGCATTTCTACTTTTTAAGTAGATCAAATCCGATTCCACTGGACTTTGATTCCTCCCTCTTCCAAGACAGACGCGAATAACAGTGATAATACATTCAAATATGGGCACATACAAATTGGAGATTTTAGGAGCGCCATACACTTACACTATAGGTAATGATTGAATACACACTTGCTTTGGATTAGGTAATACAACACAGTATGCTAATAAACATTAAGTGAATATTCTTCATATGGATGGATACGCTGTCACGTGACACATCACGCACATTGAATGAAGGGTCAGCAGTATGTATTTAGTTTTTCCCTAAATCCTATGCAAAAAACCTAAATAGGAAACAATCCATGTATGCGATTCATAGCTGATCTTATATCAATCACACAAAGAAATAAAATACTGTAGATAACATTTTCGAACTACCATGTCAGTTGAAACATTATATCGACCATTCCTAACTCAAGATGATGATAACTGTAGTCGGTAGTACGATTAATGCTAGATTACCCGCTTATAACTCGGATAAAACGGGACAACTTCACAATTTAAACAGCAAAGCATATCATTCTTGCTTGAAGTTTATGAAACTTAACGTAAACCCTTTTCGCATCTATCATGTTAGATAAATTGGTGTCGGTCAGGTCGTTGAAAATTTTCATTTAAATTAAGGAGTCCACAGAACCGTGCGTCAACAGTTTCACCGTATCTTATGAATTGCTTGAGTCTAATTCGACTAGAAAGGAATATTGTCATAAACAGCTTTTGCTCATAAACAAGGTATTTCGTTCTCATTACCTAACCTGCAACTAAAATGACAGCCGTGTGCAAGCGAAATTAGTATCTAATGAGCGATTAGTTTATTATTACCGTAACTTACAGATGTATAATGGCCATAAGATATATACAGGATAATCTGTCTTATTAGTCTCCAAAATGTCCTTAGGCAATTTGACTAGGTATATGAATCGCTCTTATGTAATCGAATGTTTCAGTGAATCCAAGTACATAGAAAACCATGAAAATGGGGTGACTCCGAAAACATAGTTATCAATTTTTCTAATTCATGGACGTTTATTTATTCCTATTTTGAATTATCAATTACCCATTTTAATGTTCAAAATGCTAGATATTTAGGCTCACCCTTGTACAATAAATGTGAGTCTTATTTTGATGTACGTGAGTCTACACATTATTCTTCAGCATATTGTAAAATTTGAAGTCAAATTAGACTCACGACAGATATAATCAGTACTTTCAGTACTCTTATGTACGAGAATAATTATGACTGAAGATGTTCTGGAATACCTGATTCTAAAAACACGGAAAGATACAATAGAACACGATTTAATCCACAAATATATGTACAAACTGTAGGCTTAATCACAAATGAATCATTCACGAACAACAACTGTTGCTTGTTGTTTTTTACGACCAGTTTAAGCGCTTCATTTGTTGTTGCTCTTTTCTTTTGATAGCAGCCCGTTTTTCAGCCATAGCACGTGCAATCTTGGCATATCGTTCCGTTGAGCCCTAGAAAAATTGTGACAATGAATAGGTAAACATTACCCTTCACTAACTTATATGACTAGAAATATTGAGTCATGTACCCCGAATAAAACAATGAGAATCAAGAAGATACAAGAAACGCACTCTTTGCAATAGTTTTCAGGCAGTAAACGACGCATTATCGGTTTGTAAACGGAGATATCTAAATGCTTTAAAATAGTTAATAGTTATTCACACCTCAGCATATTTTGGTAGCTTACGTGAGAGCCATTGTTGCTTTTCATTTTTAGTGATGGTCGAACAGAATAATAAATATATGTAGAATTTAACTGAAGCATCTTAATTATTATGCATTATCATCTACTGTATTCCCTATAACCTCATGCATACTCCTTAAATTATTTATTTAAGAATATACCACCAAAGGCTTTGGGTATTCAAACGTAACAGTGATGAGTTAAAATCGTACATGTGGCTAGATGGATAACTTAACAGTACAGCTGTAGTAATGGTGATTTACCAGTGTCAAGAACTTATATCGATGGTATGTAAAACATGATGGCATTAACTGACCGAGGAGATGAAACGGTAGAAACAATCAACTACTTCACTCTCTAAGGTCCCAGATAAGCCTACTGATGATATAAAATTGTTTTGAAACTCAAAAATAATCAACAGTTACTAAATATAAAGAGTAGCAAAACTCGCATCAAACGTATTTTCCAAGAGTTCCTCTCCAACGAAACTACCACCAGAAAGATCACTATGCATCGTGGAATTATTTCTGGTAGGTTAAGAGAAATATCTTTACTACTAAACTACGAATCAAAGTAATTAATGTAAGGAAGTATGCTGTCTTTGTATTATAAAGATTCGCAACCAAACTTAAAAACCTAAAATCATTCCCCATACACTTCAACTGATATATCCCGACGAGAATAACGATTGCTAACTGTTGAAGTCTATTTCTGGACTAATACTATACATATATTTTTATCGTATAATTGTTAAGTAACTAAACTACTCATATTCGTGTTCCTCTTATCATAAAATTTATTTTGACCTATGAACTATTATTATACGATTTACCATTCTTGATTTATGCCCTGTCTATCAATTACTATCTCCCACATTCACAACCACATATGGCTGAATCTCGTACAAATGTTATTTTCTATTATATGGTACGATGTGGTCTGGTTGGCTGATATATAAACCCAGTATGTTTGAAATACATGATTCATATCGCGGAGGCTGAGATTCGTGTTCTGCGTTATAACTTGTGCCCTGAATCATATTAATGTATGACGTAATGATACCATCAATTAGAGAACAGTGAATTATCGACCGGACCAATGACGCATGAAACAAGCACGAGCAGTCTAGAGTCTTTATTGGTCCGGTGTCAAACAAGGTTGCTCACTCTCACCCTTACCCTTTCTTCTGGTGATCGACTGGATCACGAAGACGTCAACGTCTGAGGGGAAGCAGAGGATACAGTGGATAGCTAGGATGCAGCTGGACGACCAAGACCTCGCAGATGATCTGGCTCTTCTATCGAACATATAACAACAAATGCAGGAGAAGACCAGTGCTGCTGCAGCATCTGCAGCAGTAGGTCTCAACATACACAAAGGGAAAAGTAAGATTCTCCGACAAAACACAGCATGCACCAATCGAACCACACTTGATGGAGAAGCTTTGGAGGATGTAAAAACCTTTACATATCTGGGCAGGATCATTGATGAACTCGGTGGATCTGATGCAGATGTGAAGGCACGGGTCGGTAAGTCAAGAGCAGCATATCTACAATTGAAGAATATCTGGAACTCAAAACAACTGTCAACCAACACCAAAGTCAGAATTTTCAATACAAATGTCAAAACAGTTCTACTGTCTACTGGGGCGGAAACCTGGAGAACTACGAAAGCCATCATCCAGAAGATACAAGTGTTTATTAACAGCTGTCTACGCAAAATACTTCGGATCCGTTGATCAGACACTATCAGCAACAATCTATTATGGGAGAGAACAAATCAGATCCCGGCGGAGGAAGAAGTGCTGGAAGTGGATAGGACACACATTAAAGAAGGCACCCAACTGTGTCATAATCCAAGCCCTCACTTGGAATCCTCAAGGCCAAAGGAAGAGAGGGAGACCAAAGAACACATTACACCGAGAAATGGAGACAGACATGAGAAAAATGAACGAAAATTCGATAGATCTAGGAAGGAAGGCCCAGGACAGAGTGTGTTAGAGAATGCTGGTCGGCGACCTATGCTCCATTGGGAGTAATAGGAGTAAATACGTCAATAATGAGATATACATTTTATGCTACTAAGAGGTAAGTTGTGTAAATGATTACGAAATATTTTCTGAGTTATTCAGAAGTAACTTCCTTAGATAAAGCAAAACACTATCAATCAAGTATTCGACAATAAACACAAAAGCAAACTAAACTTACTTCATAATTTCAGCATTAGCTAGAAGCTCATCTACGAGTGTTTTCCCTCTTTGTTTTCGCGGCAGTCTATCGTAGAAGCTCCCAGGATCATCTACAACTACACCTCTCTAAAACAAATTATTAAAGGGAGAGAAGACAGTTAAGATAACGTGATTTGTTCCTTACAAGGTAATTAAGATAATAGTTAGTAATGATATTAGAAGACGAAGATTATCAGAACTATGTGATATATTAGCGCAATACATTTCGAACAATCTGGTCACACATATACTTGTTAAGAGCATTTATATATAAAAATAAAAGGTCAACTAGACAGGAAACGGGGTAAGAGGAGATAAGGATAATGATAAGAGTAATAATAATAATAATAATAATAATAATAATAATAATAATGTGAACACAAAGCGAAACCTAGATATACTCCTGAGTAGACGAGAAGATGGTTCAGTAAAGCGATCTATTTTTAGAAAACCAACGTGGACAGGTC